TCTCCTCTTTCTAATTCACGACACCCCTAACGCTAATTTGGATACTAACCTTTTTAGGAAGAAACGGCAGATTCGCAGAAACAAAGCAGTGAAGCACAAATTGTGGGTGAATCGTCAAAAAGCGATTCAGAAAACCAGAGTTCCGCGCATTTAGAAGCAGAGAAATCTTCGCAGGCTTGTAAATGCAAAGCGGGATGCTCTACCCAGCACTGTCCCTGCGTAAAAGCTAAGATTAAGTGTGGACAACGGTGCAAATGCAAAGAATACGGATGTGAAAATCAGGTACACGAATTCCCTTCTTCGTCTCCCCTTTCTAATTCACGACACCCCTAACGCTAATTTGTTGTTTTTAAGAAGAAACAGCAGATGTAGAGGACAGTTCGCATGTACTTATTACAGTTGTGCTAATTAGGTAAATAATTTTCGTTTCGCATGTTGAGGATTATTTTCTATCGCTATTGCAATTAAATCTTTGTATATTCAGTGGTGGATGATCGATAAAAGCCAAATTGTCATCACTTTAAGTACTTATAATTGTAATTGGGCATCATTGTATCAGTCTTAAGATATGAAAAATACTTTTACCTATGGCAAATGTGACGTGAAGTTGTGGTCAATGATATTGAGATGAAATTGGCGGGAGTTAATAAATATTGGCTTCCCTGTCCCTCCTCCTTACGAAATAAGGAAAGTTAACTTATATAAGTTAATAATTATATTTATTTATACATTATATTCATAATTACTTGTTATTAATATTATAAAGATGTTACATCCACTTGGATGTCTCAAAAAATACTATTCCTTCAGCTTTCAATCGATTAAGTATTGGTCGATAAATATCTGGGGTAAACGGAAAGACTACTCCTCGTTGTTGAATTTCACCTATTAACGAAAAAGAAAAATAATGTACTTTGAAATTATTATTAAATTATATGTTAAAATTTGTTCAGAAGGATGACATGGAATGAAAGTATAAGAAATATACATATGCGTGGGTATATAAAATTGTAACGATATGTATTACGTTTTGTGTAAACATAATTTTGAACGCCTTTATGTTAAAAGGAATAACAAATGTCAATCGTAATTCTTATTATTCGATATGTAATACTGAACGAAGAAACATTTTTTAGAATAAACGGGAAAAAGAAGAACTATACCGTCAAGGATCATTTTAACTGCTATTGCCGTCGGATACCCAACACTGCGCGCCATAGCAGAGTATCCTTGTGATTCGCCATACAACACCAAATTAATTCCTCTGTTTTCTCTTCTGTTGTCTGGCCAGAGTATTCCAACGTCGTGTCTCAGAATTACTAGATCTCGTTCATTTTGATCATAGCACAGCTTTTTCGACAAATAATGTGTCAAAGTATCAAGAGGCGTATTCAACTTCAAGACTAAATCTTCTTCAAGAAGTCCCAAGTCTTCAATTGCTTTTACGCTCTCTTCCGAGTTTAGCATTTCTGCCAACTTCCTTTTCAAATTTCCATAGAAGATATTATCATTCGCCAAACCAAGCAAATTGCAAATTAATACTCTCTAGAACAATAAAAAGTTAAACTTAGGTAATCTATGTAAGATCGATGGAAAATTAAAATAGAGACAACAAAAGAAACAACACTACCGCGGAACGATATGAGTAATTTAAAAAGTTTTATCTGCCAAATATCATAACTTTACTCTATCGCATCGAGATTTTAAAAAAGGTTGTAACGCGTATAATACATAGGTGTATATTACTGGTATGTTTCAAATTATTCTTGCAGAAAAAGCAGACCATTTCTCTTTATGTTCTGTTTACCTTAATTATATGACCACGTTCTGAATTAAATTCGGATGTGTAGTTTAGTAATTGAAATATTGAAAATGTTAAATACAAAATTTGATACATTTCGTTTAAAGCAGGAAAGATCATGTGAAAAATCATTTTATGATTCTACTTCATCATTCCGTTGATATACATAGAATATTCGGAAAGGGAGCTATTAAGGTATGAAAAATTCATCACATTATGCATTACTCTATTAAAATAATCAGAGATAAAATGATAGAGTGTTTCCTTCCTGTGCAAGGTTCTCAGCAAAAGATGTCAGGAAATTGAAAGAGTACTTCTTCGAGCTAAGACAAAATGAAAATATTGATTAGAAGATATATATATATATATATATATATATATATATATATATATATATATAGTAATCTAACAAAGCAAGCCTAGACGGTCTAAACAACGAGAGGTCAAGATCATTTTGATGATAAAAGTGATAACTTGATATACGACAACAACGAGTAGCGCGTGTATATACATATACAGGGTATATAATAATACAAATAGCAGTTTTCTGAGAGCATTCACGTTACGATCATAAAAGCTTTCGTTCGTGTGAAGAGGTTTGCTAGCGTACAAGGATATTGTGACCTTCTTCTTCAGAAAACGCGCAGGAGGCGCAAAAGCAATGAAAAAAATCCACGTGTGTCCTATCGGATCTTATTTCATAGTTACAGCCATTTTTGTGTTTCAATAGTCCGCAACTGTTTGCTTGCAAGTTACGAGTAGAATAATTAGGTCTGTCATTTTGCATGCAAATTCTTTCTTAGTAATTTTTTATTGTTACGTTCTGTTTATTAACTAAACTGTTCCATTTCGTTTATTAATGTTTAGTTCATTATTATTCTAAAATATGTTAAAATTGCGAATATGTTTTTTGCTTTACCTAAATTATACTTTAAATAGCAAAAGGCAATTTTCTTTCTCTATGACGAGTATATTCATTATTAACCAAAGAGTTGCCATTATTAAATTTACATATAAATGTCACTTTTACATACCCATGTAATATCTGGACCATTTGGATGCAAACTTGGGTGTGGGTTAAGATCAGTTAGTCCAAGAAACTGTAAGGCTCGTATTGTGTTACAGAAACCTTTATATCTTAATGTACCTCGCTGCATTGTTTGTACATTATTGAGTCCATATAAATCCTTGTAAATTGTACTATCACGATTGGGAAAACCTTCCAACGCAAAACCGGGCAAAAAGTCCAAATCTTGAACGGCGGACATAAGGTCTCCTCCTGATTCTATTTCTACAATCTTCAATAGAAAAATAAAATTTATTAATACATAACGTAATACTTAATTGTATATTTTTCCCAATCCTTCGATCAAGATCAAGTTAACATGTATTTTAATTAATGTACTTTATATGTATGTACATTTTATTTATTGCAGTGACAAAGAAAACATTGATCCTTGCTGTATCTAGGAAATATATACATTTCCTTTTTTTAGTATGTGTTTAAGGTTACATGTACTTCTTAAAGCCATTATTGGACACAGTGAGAATGATTTATGGAACAAAACGTATCTGTAATAGATCGTATAAACCAATGTCTAAACCAATATATAAATCAATATCTTGCAGAAAATGTAGAGCTCTTTTGCCGAAGTCTTCCTTTTGTAGCATGTTGAGCGAATTAGTTAGCCCATGCTATACCCATTTAATAACGTATTTAAAATAGGTGATTAGGATTAGGTTCAAAAGAGTTTAGTATGCCACAAGTGTCACAAATATTCGGTTCAGTTTCGGTGATAAAGTAGGAATGTATCCAATTTATATGAGCTATTCTTAATCGAGTTAGTGTTACTTGATCTGACTTTGTGTAGCTTGGTAGATGTTGAATTTCTTCATTCTTCGTTCCATGATTCTATTAACGTTTCAATCAATGCTTTCTGAGATCTTTGTAGAATATAGGTTCATGATTTATCGTAGATACGTTGAAGCTAACATGTTTCTAAGTTTTCTTCTGTCAAAGGAAATGTTCCAATGACATATCAACGAATTAATATCATTTCAGGATAATCGGCATTAATGACAAGTTGTTCCTTTTTTCCACTGTCAAGCTACTATCCCAAATTGTTTGTCGTGTCAGAAAAAAGTAATAAAAAATGGGCTGCGAACACTTGCCTATTTTAGGCAAAATCATCGTTAAGATACAGATGCGACTTTTTGAATTGACTTTATTATTTACCCATAATCTAGTCACGATCAGTCGGATTCGATTCTAGAATGCTTCAAACATTTAATTCCAAGAAGATGGCTTCAAATATGCATTGATCAATCACTAACGCAAATTCGACCAATTTACAAACACTTTGATTTCATTTCTCCAAAAGAATAAAGCATTTTCATGAATGCTTCTTATGCATTGTTCTACTATTCTTTGTTCTATTTGTACAGATGTTTCATTTGACATTTGTCTACTTATGTATAGTTAGATATATAATAGATGGACTTACTTGCTTATTAGAATAGAATCTAGCCGATGATAATGTATTCAGCAACACTCCACGTGGCGACCAACTAAATTTATATCGTAAAGGATTAGAGGAACATTCTGGAGCGGGTAAACCGCCACACCAAGATACAAAAGATTCGATTTTTCCACCAGCTTGTTTAACATTGTCAAAACATTCTAGAGCCAATAAATGATCAATACCAGGATCAAGCCCTACTTCGTTAAGTATAGTCACTTCTGATGCAACAGCCCTAGTAATTAACACGTTAATGTATATTCATTTTAAATTGTCATAATTTCTAAATATTGCTTTGATATTAATAAATATTGCTGTTTACGATTTATAAATATCATTTTGTTATATTTGTTTGCATATTTGTTAATATCTATTTAATTGCCACTTACTCTGTGTGTAAAGCTTTAACATCTTCATTCGTGTAACTCGCAGTCACTAGGTGAGTTTTAGCATGTATGCATACATTCGCAATAACATGATGTAGAGAATACGGTAACAATGAAACCACTACATCTGCCGATTTTACAATGTCGTTTAAAGTATCAGGACGTTCAATTACATCTAGCAGAACCGGTTCTACCCCGGGGAAATTATTTGCTAATACGTCTGCCTCCTCTTTCAATTGAGATGCAACAGTTAAATGTATGTTATTATCTCTATGTAAATATTCAACCAACGGGGCCGAGACGTGTCCAGCGCCAAGAACGACCACCTATTTACAAAACAATGCTTGCTAATATATTACTTGATATTTAATTACCTTTGACCAACATCTTATTTGAATTATTTATAGTTACTTCGTGATCGTCCTGTTTTGCACAATGAAATTAGATGTGACGTGAAGTAACAAGGAAGTGTCTTATTAATATGATCAAAAATTCATATGTCCATATATGTACAAATATGTAGTCACAGTCAATTGGAAACTTTTATGAAAATGATCTTTTGCCTTATTCTTCAAAATTGTTTTAATCGAGAAAAGATAGTGTCTATAACTTTCAAGTTCGAGTACGTAACAATAATAAATGTAACAATAATAAATAATATTCAGATATTACATATACATTTGGATGATATAAAAATAGATAATGTATTGGTACTCGATGAATGAAATTAGTATGGTAAAAATTGACTCGAAAAGTATCATTTTTCTGTACCTTTTTGCTTTGTGCTTCTCTATTGTCTGCCTTATGTCTACAACGGTGATTTAGTAACCTTAATTCTTGGATATATTCAAAATTAGGTGTTAACCGTCCGTTGGATGCTATTATTGCATCATGTACTGCTGGACTAAAGTTATGTTCTTCTAATGGTGCTTTCGCATCCGACTGAATAATATCCAACGCGTAAGGATATAAAAGATTTCCAAAGAAATCCGTAGATTCTTTTGGCAGTTGAGTTGGCATATTGTCAATCGAACAGACTAACACTCCGGGTCCTTTAAAAGACTTTGTATCTTTGTTACGATCAGCATCGTATAAACAAAATGGAGTGTCAATCGTTGTACATTCGTTCATGAACCTATGAACATTTTAAAAATAAGTATAAGGAGAACTTAAGAATGCCGAAGCTTAACTGTTACGAATTGTTTATGAATTCGCGAATTGGCTTTTATATATAGTATATAAAAAGATCGGTGTGAATGTCTAAATCTGTTATATTATAAAAAAATCACTTAAGTAAACGATATACGTGTTATATTAATATTGAATAAATTTAAACTTACTCGATACTGCCACCAGGGTCTGCAGATATATCACAGATAGCTAACATTCGGTGGGGTAAAGAAGGAGCACCAACACTTGATGGTAACCAGGGAGTATAAGCTGGTCTTAGCAAGTATTTTGCATCTGGTATTGTTAACAATTTAGGCGAGTCAACAGCCCAATATATTCCATTAATTATCACCGATGCGTATGGTGCAATCTTTTTGCTGAAAGTGGAAATATATCTCTCAGGATGCTTGTCACACTCATCAGAATCAAAACCACCTCCATCTTTTCTTTCTAGATGATGTCTTCGTCTTACCTCGCATCCGTATATCTTCGTTGTATCTAAAACAATGTTGCCTCTTGTTTAAAATGCAATGATATTCACAATAAAATACAGCCAGTTACAAAAGTCTACATATACCTGCGGAATTTTCTTTGTATATAATTTACCTGTCGCAATTTGTCACAATATTATTTCTACCTACGATATAATTATTGTCGGTGTATTTCTAAAAAATATAGAAACAAAGGAATCAAAGGAATCAGAGGTAACAGGTGTATGTAATTTTTGTAACACTGTATTTTCTATTTCCTTTTTACTCCTTCCTTCTTGATAGAAACGAAAGTAAATGAATATGTGTCTTAATTCACGACTTTTAACAAACTCATTTGCCTTTCACTCAAACTCAAAAGCCTTTCTACAGGCTTTTATCTACATATCTATCTTATTTACAGGCTTTTGTGACTAACTATACACAAGATAAACCACGTATAATGGCCCAGAAAAATTCACTGAATTTTCATCTTTCGATTAAACAATATATACAAAGTTTGTAGTATAAACGAGAAGAGTACGATTCTTCAAGATTGTCATAATTCCTACGTGCTGAGAATTAATAGTTATGTCTAGACTGCGGATTTTTATGCGTTTATAGAAAATATAAAAGTGAAACGTGCTTTGGATACGTGATTCAAACGTTTACCACTAATGAAAACAACGTGATGAACATAAATGAAACATATTTTTAAATAACTCCCTTTTTCCTTTCTTTTTAAATCTCATATTCAATCAATTCATTGGGGTAATCCAATTAAACTTCAGTATCTAGTACCAAGTACTCCAAATTCAATTTCTTTCTTCAATCGATAATTATGAAATAGATATTAATTTAATTTGACATTCAAATGAGTTGTTCCACTTTTTTATTGAATTATGAACTGGAGGAAAGTACAAATCTCTAATATTTACAGATTTATTATAATATAAATTATATATATTATAATATTATAATAATATTATAATATATTACAATATATATATATATATATATATATATTATAAAATTATAAATTATAATAGTAAAATATATAAATATGCAACGCTTACCGCCATGTTCGGCAACCTTTTTCAACATTTCGGGTGGAACGTATTCGTGAGGAAGCTCTTGAAAAACTTCTTGACCGCCTTGACTTACATTGCCACTGCCAGTGAAAATAAAAGTCAATGGTCCAATCGATTTAGGCATAGCACCTAATGCTATTTCGTATCCTGCATCTCGTATAGCTTGCCTTGCCATAGCGGAATCTCTATAATTGTGTGCTGGACCAATATGCTAGTAAACAATAATGACCGTTATTTATAAACAAACAATAAATATATAAAAATAAATACATATTTATTAATTTATTTATTTACTAATTGCAGTATACGCGTCCAATTTAAATGTGTGCGCGCTAGCATTTTTCTAACTACTAAAAATGTGCAAAACTTTTTTCAAAATATCACAGTGATTAATAATTTTGAACGCTACTTCGCACAATATTTTTTTACGTAAAATTTAATGCTTTATCCAAATTCGAGATAAAGTGTTAGACATTCCATCGAAAAACCAATATCCGTGATATTCCGATAAAAAAAGCAAAGTTAATGTCTGAAATCCTTTTTTTTCCTATGGCGAATAATTTACGAGTTATTTGAAGTCGTCGTGTTACGAGACTCGCCCTATACATTAACGTATATTTAAACCAACAGCTATATATTAAATAAAAGTAGAAGATTCTTTGAGAAATTTTATTCGTTTTATTAAATTTTTTACATGTGTTTCAAAAGGGAAACTTTTTTACCATCCTATATGTATCTATGATAAAATAATAGTAAATTTAATTGCATAAAATACTTTCCAACATAATTATCATTGTTACAGTAAATTTCTTAACTTAATGTGATCTTACCATGAATGGTGTATGATGTCCTAACGCAAGTAATCTTAATCCAAGTCCATGTAATATATTCACCATACCAGCTACACCAGCATATTTCCCGAAGGCAACCACTCTTTGTCCATTATCATCTGTTAACTTTTCATAATCTAACAAACGTATATTCTTTTCCAAAATAGCATCCAGAAGAGGCATATTACTTTCTTGCGCCTTAATAGTATGAGAAAAGAAACAGTAAGTTCTATTCGATATAAGTTGATCCACAGGAACTTGTTTAACTCCAAAAATGACGGAAGCAGGACTAATATCCTCTTGTAGTATAGCGCCTGCAGCTTGGTAAGCATGTGCAGGATAAGCTCTTCTATTACTAGGTTGTACAATTACTTTCACTCCTGCCCTAATTAATTGGCGAACATTCGCAGGTGCCAAAGGGGCTCTTCTTTCCCATACTGATTGATCTTCTCTTCTGATTGCTATTATTTTGCCTTTTAAATTCTGCGAAAAATATTTTGTGGTATCGATTCTTAACATATACAAGAAAATATATATTCGTATCTGTTCTTATTTTATAGCGCGCACTACTTACATTCATACAACGTGCTGAAGACATGATGAAGTATACTATTAATAAATTCACATTCAGTTCGCACTTGCGTAATTGAAAAGCCTTTAATGTGACACCATATAATCGCGTAAAAAATACAAAAAGACTTCCTATCGATGTAACGTGTGTTCACTTCATTGAGTCTACAATAATAAAGTGGCAAGAGAACAATACATACTGCAATACAGCATAACTACGTCTATTTGGAAATAAAGTTGTATTACTGCCATGATATTACATGGGTCAGTGAGGTCAAACTCAGAATATGTTATTCTTACTACATCACTGATAAACACCAAGCCACGTGTTTATCGAAACGATTTGACTTTCTTCCACTACATGATTTCCATCGCTTCGCAATTACTTCATATTGAAGATGCAATCTTTTTTTTATTTCTTTCAATGTGACGTAATAATAAATGAAATTTTTCGTATTTAAGTATTTCGTAGCTCAAAAATATTGGAATCCCCCAGAATGTTAGCATTCTCAAGAGTATTGTAATTCCCGAGTATTCCGAGAACTTGAATCATGGTCTGATACGGGTTTTTTAAATATAGCCAACGATTTTTCCAAATTTTGAATCCCGACATGTTTTTCTTGAAACGAAAAATTACAACGATTTGCAAAAGTGTATAAACAGACCGCTAGTCTTATGAAAAGCGCGATAATACTACCAATTATTCGATTGATCGGTAAGGATTAGCTAATTGTAATTACGAGGTGAATCTGTCAAACAAAATATAATAGTTTAGTTTCATTTGTATTAACAATATACGGAATATTTTATAAGAATAAAGACTTGAAACCACGTTTACAGTTTTGCACATTTCGTCAGAAACGGACTAAACAGTGAATAAACGGTAGGAAACGGAACAGTAAACAAATAGATAAATAATTTCAGTCTGGAAGTCTTGAATAGGAGTTCATTTACGATTTTTATAATAATTTTATAGTTTTCAATATCCCACGTAATTTACCATTACAAATAATTTCGAAAATAAAAAAAAAAACGAAACTATGGTAGTGTGCCAAATTTTACAAGAAATGGTAGGCCGCAGATTATTTCCGACAGAGAGGTGCATAAAAATGTACGTCGTATTCGGTCTATATGTCATAAAATACCAAAAACCGTTACTACTATATTTATCTTATAATTGCCTTAACCTTTATCGATCAATCGAACGATTGCTGGTATTATCGTCCCTTTTTTATCAAACTTGTGGTACGTATTTATATTTTTGCTTCTTATTGTATATCACTTACATGCATATTTGAAAGATTAATTTTTTTCTGCCCCAATAAATTCAAAAACAAAAACACTCTAAAGTCATATATAGTGCTTGTATTTAAAAAAGCTCATTCCGACATGTGATTCGATTTCTCAAAATTCCGGGGAATCGCAACATTTTTTACTATTTCTGATTGTTGTCAAATAAAAGAAAATTTTTATTCGATTTACTTTATTATTATATGAAATACATTACATAAATGTCAATTAGATTGTGTTTTAATAGATAAATACATTTTGTTTTTTATTGTCTGCTTAGTTGGATTTATCTTCTTCAGTATTTGAGTCATCACATTAACTAATTGTTCCGAAGTAAGACCAGTTTTCTTCGATTTAAACTTTTGTAAAAGTTCCGTTGTTGTCATTGGTTTACGCATAAGATAACGCCTTACTGCATCTTCTGTGATGCCGGATTCACTGCAACATAACAAAAATACCTTTTACTTAAAAAATTATATTCTAAATATCTTTTCGCATGTTTAATATTTAGATACTATGCTTAATGATTAGATTAGACGAAATCTTAGCTTAATTCATAGTATATTAAAAATTATAATCTCATTATTAATTAATTTTAATTATATATAGATGAGAAAGATATATAAAAGATAGATCTATATATAAAATACTATTTTCAAAATTGAAGAAATTATGCGGAGAACAATTTTAATTGTTTATAATAGCAAGCGACATACCTGACTCCTGGAATGTAAGAAGTTACTGGTACTAAATTGAAATTATCCAATTTCAATTTTTTTGCTTGTGATAAATCTGGAGATCCAGATTGTTTTCTTTTTAAATTATCTAACATCGCAGCTGGTATAGGAGTTGCAGACCTTGAACTATGAGCACTATTAGATTTTTTATTATCTTTTTCCTTTATTGTATCAGATCCTGAATCTGAATCACTGGAAAAGTCACTAGAAGAATCTTTTCCTGACGCAAGCTTCTTTACATCCTTTTTCTTAGATTGTTTCTTCTTTTTCTTTTTATCTTTCTTCTTATCTGCATCTTTATTGGCCTTATCTTTATCCTTTATAAGAAAGTAAACAAACGGAATAAATATTTCAATTAACATAAACATTATTATAATTTTTAGTATTTTGAATTTACCTTATCATCCTTATCTTTATGTTCATCGTCTTCGTCTTTTTCTTCTTCACCATCCTTTTTATCCGCCTGTTCTTCGTCATCGTCATCTTCATCAGAAGCAAGTAATTTTCTCAATGCATCTTCTTCCGCAACTGACTTAATTTCTTTTTGTTGTTCCAATTCTGATTCAGAATCGGACGAGTCAGAAATGTAATCACATTCTCTACCTTCTTCATCCCCATCGTCACTTTCTTCAAATGCTTCATCATCAGAAGCGTTTTTCTTCTTCTTTTTCTTGACAGCAACTACAACACAAATATTTCAATTTATATTTTAACTGTCTATAATAACAAATACAGAAGTTATTTATTACAATAAAATAAATTCAAAATACAACTATATAACATTAACTATATAAATAAAAATTAAATTATCTTAACACGTTGATTGCATATGACACATTCAATATATATTACAGCATTGTATTTCACAGACTAAGTGTATAACATATCTCATCTAAGTAATAACAAAAATAAAAGAAACGTGTAACTAAACTGCTATTAAGTATAATTAGCAGCACATACATTTCTTAACAATATCAGAAATAATATTCACCTTTGCCTTTCCTTTTTTTCTTACTGTCATCTTCTTCGTCAGAAATTTTTTTATTTTCTTCGTCATTACTAGCTGAATCATCATCATCGCTATTCATCCACTCATCCATTTCAGATATTTTTAAATCTTTCTCCTTTTTACTTGGCTTTTTCCCTTTTCCACCTTCTAACATTTCCTCATCATCTGCACCCTCCTCATCATTCCTAAGTCTTTTACGCAACATCAGTGAAAAATAATTCATTACTTTATTTCTACGACTAAACTCCTGTTCTGCTTCTTCTGCACTCAATGCTTTGTACCTTTGAATTGGTTGAAAATTATACCTGAATATAAAAATTGTATGCGTTAACATTGTAATAAATTTCGGTTTAATACTCAAGCAAATTAATTACCATTCGAGAACGACAGGCAGAAGGGTTAGGGCAAAATAACAAAGTGCAATGTAACATATGTCGTATTACTAGGTAGCATAAGTGTACTGTAAGGTGACTTAAGTAGTAATGTAAGAAAGTATGTAAACCGGAAGTGGTCCAAAGCCGAAAGGCAGGGATTAAGTTTAATAAATAATAAAATAATAATTACCATTCATGCAATGGAAATGCTTCTATAGCTCCATCAGCAGCATGTGTGAAAACATAATATGCAGCATTTTCACTCACACCACCTTCCCTTATACCTTTAAACTTTTTCCCAGTTTTTCCTCCAGATTTTAAAATCCAAGGTTGATCTTCTGGTTTATATTTTCTACTTGTAATACCAAATTTTTTTCTTCTTGCTTCTTCTCTCGCATCTCGTCCAAATTCAGAGCCAGCTCCAAATTTTGGTATTTCCTCTTCTATTCCTTTGTATTCCTTCATATTATTTTCACGTTCCATTTTTACTTGAGTCCATTTTGAAAAGTCAACATTTAATGTGGCATTAAAGCGCATCACATTGTGCTTTTTCTTGTTATTTCTAAAAGACAACATTTTATTTAATATTAATTCTATATGTAATTTGTAGTTATTATAATTATGTAGTAATTATTTTATTATATACTTTGGTACTCTGATACTGAATTCTTGTATCGAAGGCACAAGTGAAACCTGAAAATTATAATTATGTTAATATCTTCAATTACCATTGCAATAAATAAATAAATGAATAAAGTATTTTAGATGTAATTTTCACTTTTATTATCCTTTAATTCGTACAACAATAAACTAGTTTCTATAAAATGTTTCATTTTTCATTCAGTTATAACCTATATACAAATTTTACGCTCCATTTTTAATTGTAATTACTCATACAAAAATTTTACGTTTAGATACCTTTGGAACCGCAGGCGATGTCATCTTGATAATTGAGTTTAGCTTTATAATAATGAAAAGAAGAAAACCGTCACAATATATCACTATGCAAAACTAGATTTTATATTGTAGGTTATTTATAGGAATGGACAATTCTTTGTAAAATTTATGCACATATTATTCATCTTGTTCCAAATTCAATTTTAAATTTAATTCGAATGACTTTAACTCAACAATGTTCCAGAAATGGTACTCGCTGCCGCCAGAGATAGCCAAGAGACTATTTCGGTAAGTTCGACTGCTGCTCGTTATTCCCAATCGTCGAATTCCTCAGCTTCACTAGGTAGCACTGCCAGAGGGGATCGATTCTCGATTATCGCAAAATAAGAGGTGAGCACTTAGAACGACTGAATGAGATGAATTCAAAATTTGACCCATTTATCTATAGCGTGCCGCTATCTTGAATATCTCAGTCGATCGTGTACTTGATATCGATCCTCGTTAGTATGCAGGAATGAGTAGTGTCGTCTAGCGTGTTAATGCTACTGGCAAGTATTTGCACTTTCGGCTTAACTGCTACGGACAGGGGTACTAGCACGGGGAGGATTAAAGTTTCTTAAGGAAGAATGAATGTTTTTAATATTTCTTTAATTTATCAGTTTATTTAATTTCATCAAGTTGCTATATTTATTAACTTATTTTGCCACACATTTATTATTCCGTTTTATTTATCTTCGATCCTTGCACAACAAACTTAGTAGAATATATATAACTATCGCAGTTAACGAGCGAAACGGCCCTTGACGACAGCGGGTGTAGCTCTTCTGTGCGAAGGGCACCCTCGCGTTCAGGAATGGGTGAACTAAAAGGTGACAACCTTATGTCCCCCATTTTTGTGTCCTTTCCCTCTTATATTCCTCCTCGTTCTTGGCATCTAACGTCAATGAAAAATTAATTTTCCAGTGTTCTCTGTTGGAACCAACGTAGCCTCACAAGTCTTGCCCAAAGACGAGCGGGCAATTGCCTGCTAACAGTGGGAGGAGAAATTGTGAAGACCAGTAGGCGTCTTCAATTATTAAAGATACCGTAACCGGATGCGATTTTATAACCACATTTAACAGTCAAAGGTTGTATCAGCGAACGTAAGGTTTCATTTGCTATTATTTTCGAATTGAGTTATATAAGGGAGTGAGAATGAGTAGACCCAAACGAATTGTTTTATTTAAATAGTAACACTAATTCGAAATAGTCGAGCAATGAGGAGGGTGGTTACAAATCTATGTGTTACAGAGCTCTCACCTTGTTATTATACTCCGTCGATCACACAAGGAGAATTTTCGGTAGTCAATTATACTTGGCTGAACTATCTGAACTTGTTTACCAAATGAACTTCTATTACTGATTTAACTGACCGAAGTAGCTGCTCGTAGTAACTGTTTACTGATTGACGTTAAGTAACTCGCTGAAGCGACTGAACCAAACTGTTTACTGAAAGACCGAACTGAAGCAACTGATTGAAACAACTGTGATTGACTTGATTCGAAGTTCGAAGGATAAGTATCGCGCAATGTTTTGTTCCCATGGGAACTGTTTGTCTTTGTGCGAACGATGGAATGTTAACACGTAGTTATCTTGCGACTGTTGCAATTTCATGTTGGGGTTTGGTATGTGGTCTTCCCAAGAGTATTGCAGTCTTCATTTCTGCTGATGCTCCTCAAGAGCATTACCGTTTCATATTTCTGCTGATTAGAGTTCGATATGCGATCTTCATAAGTACGTTGCAGTTTCCTATCTTTGCTGATAACCTTCTCAGGAGTATTAAGGTTTCCTATTTCCGCTGGTTAGAGTCTGATATACAGTCTCCTTGAGGGCGTTGCATTCTCCCATCTTCCTTCTTCTGCCTACTGGGGTGTCATGGTGAAGTGCACGCGTAAAGCGGGGCGCGTAGGCCAGCGTTCAATTGTTCTGCCAACTCTCCACACTGCAACAGGTATTACTCCACACTTCGTGATATAACAAAGTGTTTTACAGTGTAATCACTTATTCGTGAGATATTTCTTTAAACACTCTGGGGACCGGCTGCTCCGACAAACATATAGCCTAAATTTCCGGGTGTTTTTGGAGCGATTGAAAAATATTCAAAGCCATCAATATTACATCTAATATATTGATAACGGTTTCGTATCATTCAAGCATATAATGTGATGTAAAAACATTTTCATAACATTTCGTTTATAGCATCCATTGCTTTTTTCACTATTTTATTTAACAGTAGTTCAAATTTTTATAGAATACCGCATGAAGTATGAAAGACGCGAATTTGTATCTCTGATCCCCGGAGTATTAATTCTGTTGTGCTTATTTTTGTGCCAACTAATTGAAGTGACATGGTGTGGCATTAACTGATTGTGACGTGCATATTGTTGCTTTATTATTTCAATTTTGATTGTAGGTTAGCACTTTACGTCGGAGTTGACAGACTTTTGCACTTTTGTTCATTATTACGATTCGTTATTCGCGAAATATTCTATAAGCGATTCGTTGTCATCTCATTTGCGTAGTTTTCTGATCATGAGCGCAGCAGAACCGATGACCTCTGTTTCCAGCCCGGTCGTACAGGTATATAAATTCAATTTCTTGTTTACCCCTTGTTAAAATTTAGTTATTACTTTCTTCTTCGTGTATCATTTCAGTGTAAAAAACCCAAACAGAAAAGGAAAAGGCTGAATAAGAACCGTTCGAGGAAGCGCGGGCGCCGTGCAGGGATGAGGTTCCAGGAACAAAAGAAAAGAACGTGTATGTTGAAGGAAGTCGTGCCCGCCTTCCTCAGCACAACGAATCCTGCGTCAACGCAGCGGTCCAGCAGTCCTCCTCTCGTTGACTTTACGTTGCCAGAGGAAGATATTGCGGAGCTCTCGCCGTGCCCGTCCCCTGTTGAATTGCTCGTGACGGATCATTGTGCCAAAGTCTGGTTATCTTCGAAGATTCCGGTCGAAATTTTGAATGCGCACGTACGTCATCATATTTCTGGGGCAGGAGGGGTTTCGCCCATCGTACGGTCCTGGTGCATGGATGTCTTTCATCAGATGTATCTCGTCGAAGATTTTCCTGATGTGCCTTCTTATGATTTCAATATTCATCGTTTAAATTCTGATTCTACATTGTAGTGTATATATATATATATATACATATATTTGTTATCATATATTGTTATGGCTCGCGTTGATCGCAAGCCATGATATATCCCTATCTGAGCTAAAGTCACGGCTCATGTTAATCGCTAGACGTGACATCAACCAAAAGATGGAAAGTAAGAATAAGAGCCATAAATTTCACCCATGTTCATCGGTGATCTCCCTATTCATCTCTACTTGTAAGTTAAACTATTTTTATATGATGCGTAACAACAAAATTTTAAACGTCTTCAATTTTTTTATTATCGTATTCATTAATGATAAATAAATATAAATTATAATTTGAATAAAAATAAATAAAAAAATTAGAAAAATTTGGTGCAGATTTTGTTTACATATTTTAAAACAATAAATAAAATTATAAAACTAGATTCCAACAATACGTAAAATAGGATTACAACTAGTAATTAAAATAAGATTCCGGAAATTAGCTGGAAAGTGGATTGGTTGCGACTATGCAAGTAAAACCTTATTATCATCGAGTAAGAACAAGTCAGTAACCAATGATTAAAGCGATCCCAAGTACCACGTGGTTGTACTACCCGCTCCCCAGAAGTGGCTTCACACCCATCGCCTTAAGGTTTATGCTCTATCCCTATATTTCTATGTCCATATCATAGATGCATATCACGACTCAATTTTCAGACGATTTTCCCTAGGCTTCGGTATACGAGCGTCAAGACCTGTTTATATGATCGTGGTATACACACCATACACTGTGGCCCAGACTCGTTCGTACATCTAGTAACTAATTCTAGTAATAACATTTAAACGATAAGGAATATAGTAATTTAATACGAATTTAAATATTTGTATAATTTTGAAATAAAAACCCAATGATTGTGAAAGGTTAATTACATGAAATAGATCATATGAAAAATTACAATATTATTAATAAAGATGTATTAAAAATATTATATTGAATGTTTTATTTCTTTCCATAACTGTATTATAATTGATATTTATGTTATTTATGTCATTAATTGATTATTTATGTTATTAATTGATAAAACACATATATTTAGAAATGTACAAGTAAAATATTTACATATACGTACATTTACGTACATTTATTGGAAACATAAAAGATGAAACACTTAAATGATGATCGGTCGGCCATCTGCTGATGTTGCAGCCGAAGCCACGTCATATTTTGTATGCTTTGTGACTTAGGTGTGTGAAGTATTTCTCGATTCTCTTATAAAAATTACTTTTCAGCAACCGAAAAGATGAACATATTTCGACTCTTAGGTGACTTATCACATCTCGTTGCAATTATCATTCTCCTTCTCAAAATATGGAAAACACGAAGCTGTGCCGGTATACATCACCAATATGATTTATATGCTTATTATACCTAAATTATTATATTTTCATTTAAAATATCCATTTTTAATAATATTTGATGTGTGTTTTACAGGTATAAGTGGCAAGTCGCAAATTTTATTTGCGATTGTATATACAACACGTTATCTAGATTTGTTAACAACATACGTGTCAGCATACAATACGTTTATGAAGATCATTTTTATTGCAACTTCTTATGTTACAGTTTTTTTAATGTATGTGAAATTTAAAGCTACATATGATCATAATCATGATACATTTAGGTACGTCTTTATTTTATAATAGTATAAGTCGGGAACAAAGATAATTGGACAATAACTGCTATCTGTCTCCTTGTCGTTGTCCCCGATTGTCCAGATATATATTAAATGATAGATATATGTATATATATATAGATATATATATATATATATAATGATGTCCAGATATATACTATATCATAATTATAATAATACATTTATTATGTAATATACATACATGTAATGTATTTGTAATTTTTAAGTAACATCTGTATGTTGTAATTGTATGTAATAATATCTGTTATTTGTTTTCAGAATTGAATTTTTAATCCTACCTACATCGGTGTTGGCATTATTAATCAACAATGAATTCACAATTGTAGAAGTTCTATGGACATTTAGCATTTATTTGGAGTCTGTAGCAATATTGCCACAATTATTTTTGGTATCAAAAACAGGAGAAGCAGAAAGTATTACCAGTCACTATCTTTTCGCTTTGGGGTCTTATAGAGGCCTGTATTTGTTAAACTGGGTGTATCGTTATTATGCAGAAGATCATTATGATCTAATTGCTATAGTTGCTGGTTTAGTACAAACAATTCTTTATTGCGACTTTTTCTACCTCTATATTACCAAAGTATTGAAAGGCAAGAAGTTACAACTACCTGCTTAGCTGCATAGAAGTATTATCATTTGGAAAATTATATATTGCTCAAACGAGCGGTATTATCATTAATTGAATTTATATAAATTTTGGCAATATTTAAAAATCGAGGAATGTTCATGTACAAAGTATACATTTTATTAATTGTAAAGCATTCCATTTTTCTTTACGTTCAACATCAGAAACATCCATGTATAATTTCTCATTTATATCCCACATGGCAACATTATTTTAGACTGTTATCCTCATTGATTCTCAGCATATTACGTCTTTATATAATACATAATAAGTATGTATTACTATGATAACTATATCATTCATTTAATTAAAATATACATAAAATACAAAATAATTGGAAATGAAGGTAATAATGTTGTGATTTCAAAATTGTTTATATTTTTTAGAAACTAGAAATTAATTATACTGATATTTTATATTTGTAGCTTTTGATATATTAATTTTATTTAAATGAAATTATATCATATTAATTGATTAACAACGCAGAATTATATATTTTACTAAATCGGTTATGTGTATTGCTTCACTAAGAGTTGTGGATCTATCTCTTACATATATAATGCCATTTTCAAGACTAGTCGTATCAACAGAAACTATAAAAGGAATTAAGCATGTATCTATAATTTTTTCTGAAGTGGTTAATATTGTATTTAGGCCCTTTGTTCTTAGCATATTATTTAAGTAAAGTACAAAACGATTTAAATCATCATTTTGGGTATTCTCTTCATTATTTGATCTTTTTATATGAAATGCAACTTTATGTGGTGCTAACTTGGAATGAAGATGCGTTTTGGAAGATTTATTCATATCATATGCGTCACAAAGTAGTGCTAAACAACCCCAATCTAAAGATACCTTATGCTCAACCATTTGTATGTTGGTAAAATCTTTTTTACTATCAACCTGGAAATAAAATAATCCATAAAAATAACTGTTATTTATAAATTTCTATGAATTCAAGTATATGAAAGAAGAAATGCGAGGCACCTGGGAAAATAGTTTTTGAACATCTGTATGGTAAGTTATCTTTTCCACAATAACATTGCCAAATGGAAATTGAGCTTCAATATCTACTACATTAAAACCTTTTATCTTTTTTGCTTCTGTAAGCTTAAATCTAGAAGGATATTGTGCTAATCTCCGCCACCAAATTTTACGTTCTTTCTGAATTTTATGGAATACATCTTTCGTTTCTGTATTATTGTTAAAAATATTTGTCGCAGCAATTCTGTGAGGATTTGATTTTTGTATAGACAATAGATTTGAATCCCAATAATCTTTTGAGTTCTTTATTGAAGCTAATCCAAATGGTATATCACTCATTTCAGTTTTTATAACAAAATTTAGAGTCTGATTAAATTCATCTGATAAGAATATATTATAGCGTGACATTGTAATGCAATTTAGAAACCATTGTTCTTCAAGATTTCTTAATAGCATTTTACCTTGAGGGCCATATTTAAGCCCGCATTCTGTAAGACTAATAAAATGTGAACTTAATTCCTTTAGTATGTTTCCTATATTCATGATGCTTGTACGATAGTCTGCAATGGAGCTACAAAATATTCTTCCTCTGTAATGGCAGCATTCATTAAGATTTCTTTTCTAGATATGTTATGCTCTACATTATCATTTCGCATAAGCATGGATTCTGTCTCAAATGGACTATACATAGGTTCAATTTCTTTGTTAATCTTTGTATTGCGTAAATTTTCTGTAAAAATAATTGCAGCTTTTAGGACAGAAAAACCATAATCGTCATCAACATTAAGTAAAGATAATTGTTCTATTTTTTGTATTGTCTCTTGTTTTATAACTGGCATTGTTGAACTCGAATCTATGGGCTTCATAGAATGATGATAAAGGACTGGATTTGAAAACATCGGTAAAAATATATAATTCAGTCGTTGAGTACATCGAACAAGTGCCATTTGTAGAATGTTATTTATAATAATCAGTATTCTTACTTATCCAACAATTAAATTTTCATCTAACAATTATTTTGTGATTTAATATTCTGTCACTGTAGTCAATACAATTTCACATTTGTTTTATACGTATTCGATGCAACATTTTATAGTTATACGTTATACAGACTGTTGTACTTTATATGTACTATATATATAAACTACCACATCTAGCGTGTTATGGGGGGAAAAAATGGCCGTAGAGGGAATTTTGATGACGTAATGTAGCACGGTAACGATAGGAATAACGGTGCATTTGTGTTAGAGATGCGATGACGCTATAATTTGGAATCATTTATTTGTAGACGTTTGTATGTGTTTATATACAGCTTATATATTATGATTGTAGAGGTATAGCGGATTTGTACTTTATAATTTGTATTGTTCTATTAAAGTTGCAGTATGACTATAAGTTCAGGCAAGACTAATTTGATGTAATCTCTGTTTAGGCGACATAAAATTATTGACTTCTTGTTTTATGTATTATGATAGTTTTCGACGCGTAAAATTCAAAAATACAAGTATTTAGAAATTCAGCGGTTCAAGAATTATGCGTATGTAAAATTTAGCATTTTTAGCCTATTTTATAGGTTAGTATGATGCCATATTGCCTCTATTCATTATTTGATTGGGCCGACCACGATCGCGTAAACAGATCTCGATATTCATATACATACATATACAAGTGGTTACGTTACCAGATTGAGGGAATTTAGAGAAAAATTACTCTAAGGTAGAAGTAGAAGGGTTTTATTCTGTGATGAACGAGACAGAAACAATCTACTGGTTTCTGATTGTCTTGTAGAATCAGAACTTTGTTTTTTTTCCATATTGGCTTTTTCATGACTCAATCCTTGCACTATTTTCGCTTTCGGGTGTCGGGACTTTTTTTTATATGAGTTGACTTGTTCATATGACCGTATCCAAACCTAATGCAATATTCACGATTTTAAATCTCACCGCAAAATGATCGCCAATCACGTGCATTTGTGTCATGGATATAAGAATATCGAGACAGAGCAATGACTAAGCGAGGCAAAGCCGTTTCCACGGTACAGAGAACGTGGTTATTTGGGGCCGCATTGGTGAATTGGTGTAGTTTGTAATCTTATTATCGTAATCTTATTATCATGAAGTAAGAGCGAGTCAGGTCAGCAGTAGGGACAAAAAGAGGGTGATTAGTTGTTACGAGGAAGACCAGGATGTATTGTGAGAAATGCCGCACAGTGCATAGTAAACAATTGTATATATATTGTATTGTAAATAAGAATTTGTTCAGCACATTTTGCAGAAGATGCCTTCTATTTATTACATGGTACAAAGTGACTTCGACCAAGTGCACTAAAGTGTGTCTAAAGGTATGAAATTATATTATTATCAGAACTGAGAGTTAATACCTTGTTTGTAATGTCAAGAGCTTATGAATATGTTTGAAAAGAGTTTTGCACAACTGTTTACCATATTGCAAAACAATTTGCAAGTGGTATCAAAGTATTCAAAGAAAGCCTATTCCTATTTTGTTATTTCTATATTCATGATTTGTGCATAGCTAGCTATTCTATACATTAGACGACTCATGGATAGAGGCCGACATGGCGTCAAAGTAACATGTAAAATACGTTAGAAACGCACAACTATACATATGCATAATTCTTGAACTGTTAGATTTCTAATGTTAAGACTCGCTTTTTTGGATTCTACGCATCGAGAACTATCATAATATATTTAAAAAGGTCAATAACTTTATGTCCCCTAAACCAAAGCCTAAATATCTAATATTTTGCTTCAGTATAATTTAAAAAATAATCATTTATTGAAGAATACAAGTATTTTAATATGAATATATTGAATATGTGCATTAGTTTCTTCTTTTGATATTAATTCTTTGGAAATTTTTGGAAATATATTGTTATAATATTAAGAAAAATTAAGTCATATTGGAAATTAACTAATAATGAATATTTTATGAATAGGCAGTAGTAGTAGTATGCTTTTCCCTCCTGCAAGGAAGTTTAGAAGAAAGAAATTCCCTGATGGTTGGCTGAATAATCCAAAATTTACAACACGGCTCCAAAGATGTGGTGGACAGCTGAAAAAAGCAAACTGTTGAAACATAAAAACAGTCTGGAGCACATAACACTTGTGAATATAAGAGAAAAAGCTGCAGGTGGTGTAGTACTGTCATTATTGACATCAGATTATATCATCTCTTTATACATATGTCAAATAGAATAATGTTATATTTGCTTATTTTTAATTATAGCGTGTATAGGGGAGACCAATCACGTCAGTATCGACACCCTTTAACAATGACAGGTAATATCATTGATTAATAGACAAATAGGTTAATAATCAAATATCATACAAAAAAGTATACAAATTCTAGAAACGATATATAAATACATATACAATAAAGATTAACTATTTGCATTGCTTTGTTTTTGATATATCTTTTTTAACCCTTTCGCGATGGCGGAACTAGTCACAAGTATGCCACTAACGAACAGGTCATCGTGCTATTAGTGCACACCATTCACATTAAGAATGTCTCACGTTTTCGGAGCTCCCAGTGAGTCCGTAAAATCTTAGAGTATTTTGTTGGAACAGTAGAACTAACAGTAGAGAACTTAAGTATGTTTCGGATATAGGGAATGTTATTGAATCTTTGTTCTGTATTTTAAAATAAATCCAGTAATAAATCTTCACTTTGAGTTGTTTATTGGAAATTATCTAATAATGATAGGTGTAATTCAGTAATATGTTTGCATATCATAAGTTTTAAAGCAGGTATGCACACACAATCCAACGTCACATTCATCACACTGCTATATTAGTATAGCATACATACATGCTGTATTAGTGACATGTTATGTTGATCGTTCGAATGTTAGTTTTGGTTTTTGAAAATACTTGATAAATAACTGAGATCGAAATATGTAAGTATTTTGTGATATTCCTTGTCCTTTTTCCCTTACTCTTCTTCTTTATTGAAAATGTTGCGCCAATTTCGATAGGAGGTTGAAATCTTTAAATAAACTTGTTGTGTGAGTTAAATGATTTGTAGAATTATAATGACTTCGGTTTCCTAAGTAAATTTATATTCGAAAATATAAGGCTTTTACAACGGGAGGAATCGTATTATATTCATACCAGTTAAAGAACTTTTAGAACTTCTGATAAGCAAAGACTAAAGAATTGAATTGTATGGCGAATTGTAATAGGCTCTGCTTACAGTGATTCTTTATATATAATCGTTAATCACAGCGCGCAGATAAAATTTTGCGTACGCTTGTGATTAGTTATATTTGTATATTATATATTATGTATAATGTCATATGGAGTATTCTTTTAAGAAATCTTCGGACGAATCAGGCCCGAGCAAATGAAAAAAGAAGCGCGCTCAACAAGAGTTTATCGTTTTCTTTTTATTTTCCTTGGGATAATTTACGGTTTCCTCATGAGAACATCCGGTAAATTGACATAACGAATTAGAATAAGAGCTTGTAGGCATATTCGCCAGTAGTTCATGCCTAAGGCTGTCCCCGGACAATCACTAATATCGTCAATATTTCAGGGTTCTCAACATCACTGTATAACACTAACAGTATTGTATTGACAATTCGCATTGATTTCTTTAATTCAGAACCTTGAAATATTGACGATATATATATTGATAGTCTGAGGGTCTAAAGTTACGTACAGTGGAGTCTCGGTTTATCAAGTCCTTCCGGTTTAACCGATGTCCTGTATTGTCCGAAGTGCCTTGAACTTTACCATAACTTTAATTTTTTCGGATTCTTAACATGAAGAGTACGAAAGTGTAAATTGTCAGGTATTGCGAAAGCAATTGATCAAACTTTCACCGATTAAACGGTGAATAACACCTAAATACATATACAATATTATATTATGAAAATATTTTATTATACGATTTATGAACAATAACAGACTTTTCCGTATTGTCCGAGTAGGCCCGGTCTACATCACGTCGGATAATTGGGACTCCATTGTATATTTGTTCGTAGATTATTGAATGTCCTAGTTAATCAGATCATTGGGATGGATATAAATTGTTTGCTACTAGATTTGTTAGTAGAAGCGCATGTGTTTATCGGATATGTAATAATTCGTGACCTACGGGACCACTGATTTCATGCCTCTTTATTGATCCTTCTAAATTTTAATTAGACGTGGACTTTATTTATATTATTGTACTATTGTAAGATTTGCAAAGTTTTATTAATTGTATAGCACAGGGACACATATTATTCTATCAGCGTTTCAATTACTATTGTTTATTTGATAAAGGAGGTAACATGTGAAATGTTTGTATGATGGCATCTAGTGGTACAGATCGGGCGCTAATCATACTCGTACATAATTTATATAAGCACTTACACTACATTGTTTGTTCTTGCAATTCATGGTAAACAATTAGTTTCGATTTGATTTTCTTTCTGTAATATATCTTTTTCTTTTTTTATAAAACACAATCATTTTATGAAAATCTCCTTTTATTTCAAGAATTATTAGATTGAGTAATTGTAAGTAAGTAAATAGGTAGAACTGTCCAGTCTTAATATAATAGAAACATTTATTAAAGAAATGATTTAGAATCTAATGTAGATTTTAGTCGTTTTGTGAGAAGGCTACAAATTTTATAATTATCATATACATCTATACTTTTATATGCGTGTATCTGTGTGTGTTTTATCATTTCCATATATCTCTAATTTTCAGCTTGAATTGCACATTTTTACTTTGCACATACTCTGCACACGTAGCACCAAATGATATTATTGTTTGTTTAGATCGTTACAACACCATTTTACTGATCAACATTTAAACACACCCGGTGATGCACGAAAATACATACATCGAAGACTTTATTGTATTAAAGCTATTTTTCTACTGCTACACTGCCTGCAAGATGGAAGACAGTCGTTGACAATAATAGAGAATATTTAAAGTACTGAGTTTATTCCAATTTTGTGTACTACCAAGCTCGTGTATCATATTATGTAAATTGCTCACAAAAGTAGAATTGAAACTCATCCTAGAGATTATAGTCTTGACGCTTTCGTGTTTCAGGAATCCTAGAAGTATCTGTCGTACCCTCCAAATTTGTAAGAATATCGATTAATTAGAATTGAAACAGAAGCCTGCGTTGATAATAAGACATAAGGAGTATCGATCAGATTTTGTAAAACGATGTGTACAGTGGAAAGAGAACTGGAATTATATTTACAGATAAAAAGAGATCTAAATGGAACAGACGGTTTCGATTATTATTAATATCATCACGTACAAGTATAAAAAGGGGAATTGACAAAAGTTCGGGTAAAGTTGTAAGACTGCTTATAAATGTTAAAATAAACTAAATTTACATATTACAATTATGTTAATTTCTAAAACTCGTAATTTATATTTGTTACAAAATAACATTATTGCTCCTGCCAATATTGTTCGATTTTTTAAGCGACGAGAATTAAATAAAGAAAGAAAAATGAACGTTTTAATCCAAAATCTTATAAATTTACGTCCGATATATGAATCTTTAGTTTATATTTAATACACGTATGTAGAATTTTACAACATACCTATATCTAAATATACGTCTCGTTAGAATTATCTTTCTGAAAGGCATTCGTGCTTAATCGTCGAACGATGAAAGCGTTGATTAGAATTAATTCAGTACTTCTGATTTGCAGCACATTTCGAGCTGGTAATGAGTGGCATCAACAATCTCCAGGAACTGTTCTTTCATTTCTCGAGCTTTCACGTAAACATCCTCTTTCATCAAGTCATAACACATAGCGATCAGTCCCATACCGAGCAACAAGTAAACAAAATTTATTATCAATTTGGTTTGGCTATCAGCGGTTAGATCGCCGTGTGTCCACCCAGGCACGAGATCGCCCATTCCAATTTTGCACAGCGACGTTACGCAAAAATAAGCGCTATCCAAATAATCCCAGCCTTCCCATTCGGCGAACATTATCGAACCACTTAACACGTATCCGAAGATTACCCAGAGGCACGCTGTCGACGGCACCGTGATCCTCTGGCCAGGCTTTCGTTTGCCGGTGCACTCGTGCAGCCACGTGTACAGCGAGCGGAACGTTTGCGCTAATACTTTACCCATGTTAAGGAAATACAGAACGTAAAGAGGAATTCCTAACACGGCGTAAATAACAGTAACCGCCTTTCCCCAGGGAGTTTGAGGCACCAGAGTCCCATAACCGATCATCGTGAACACAGAAAGGCAGAACATCATGGCTGCTGGAAAGGACCACAGATCAGTTGCCGTTAAGCCACTACAGTTCTCTTTCCTGTAGTCGCCGGTGAAGTTGTCTTGGTAACGACGCAAAATTCGGTTAGACACCGTGTGAAATGTCGTTTTATCGAAGATATTTATAGTCCGATTGCTGGCAGTACTGAGCCACAGCTCTTCGGCGAATTGTTTCCTGATTAGTTCTCGAATGCAGACTGTCGATGGGATTTGGCTCTGAGACTCTATCATCATAAAACCGAAAGCACCTATTATGGCGTAACCAACCACTAGTCCACCGACGCCAACCTGAGTGCACATGAAGGCGACAAATTTTCGGCAATAATCCTTTATTCGTTCCCTGAGATCCGGATCGGTCATCGACGAACTGGAATCTCGACTTTTCAAGGAAGATCTTATCGGGACGCGCGTCATTTTATTTGCACACCGAATTAAGATAGAGAAACAATGCCCGAAACTGGGGGGATTAGATACACGCTGGCCACGACTAAATGATTTTCGTGCTGCTTTTCTATTTCTGTCCGACCACGCCGCTTCATCTTTCTTTCTATCCTCTACTTCTGTGACCGTCTCGCTCTCTTCCCACTGGGCTTTATCCCCTTTATTTACAACGCTATGTACATGCGCGCTCGGAGATATTTTCAACTTTCTTCGACAAAACAGTAGTAAGTATTCGGTATTCAGGTATCGAATCGGGCTAGCGCTGACAGTTACATGAAAAGTAGACGAAATAACTGGTGATAGATAAACTGAACTAGATGGATAGAATCCATTACGATAAGCTACTTAAGAATCTAATCCACAATATTCATAAATTAGTAGACTGCGGATTTTTATGTATTTATGATAGAAAAATACGATATAATAATAAATACTAAATAAATAATAAATATAAATACATAAAAATACGATAGAAAAATTCTTTCGTGTTATTGAAATAGTCGAAACATATTTCCCTCTTCATCTATTTGGCCAGAAAGTTCTATCGCATGTGAAATATACGTGTACAGGGTGTATCATAATATGTGAAACGCACTTCGGAAATGGACAGTAGGCAGAGAAACGATGAAAAAGGTTTGATCTTGTTTCAAAGTTCAATTTAATGTTTCGATAATCCGCAAATTACTTTCATAGAAAGTGCTCGAAATGGCCATTTTCAATCTACATGCAAACTTGCAGTTGTCGTATCGAAGAATTTTGCAATCTTTCAAAAATTCCAGGCATTTGTTGAGTGTATCGGCAATCTTGTTGTATACGTGCACAAAGTACTTTAACACTGGCAATGGGTCGGATGCACGATTGTTTTCAAGTAAGCCTAGAAATAAAAATCTAATGGATTTAAATGAGGAGAACGAACAGGCCAGACAGTAGATCTGCACGACCTATTCATTTATGAGGAAATCGCGGAGGTAAGCAGTTGGACTATCGAAACACAAAAATGGCTATAACTTTAAAACAAATAGAATACATGTTCATATGAAATTTTTTCATAATTTTGAAACCTCTTGTCCACTCCTGAAGTATGTCTCACATACTATGATGCACCCTGTATTTTGAATTTCGTTATCTTGACCTGAACTATGAATGTAAACTAACAGATTGATAGTGGACATGTATAGTGGACGACAGCGGACGTTATATTTGGTATAATTAATTAATTAATTTTTTTATTTATAATTAATCTCGTCTTGGCGATAGAAATCGTGTTCAGTACTTGTACTTTAGTCCCATACGAGGAGATTGTTCCATTCTTATTCCTAATTTTACTATAAACTATATTATATTCTTGGAATATGCTCTTAGTTACTATATTACATTGTTATTTTATCGTGTCATATTATACTCTTCTTTAATAATTCAACTCTTTTTTTAATAATTGGTACGTATTTATCCCAATGCATATATTAAAATGACATATGCAGAAGTACATATATTTTTTTGTACAAAAGAATTAATAATTTATTAGAATATTAATTTATGGTTGTACATATACGTATAATGTCAATTATAATAAATGTATTAAAGCATCGTTATCGCAGAATGTAACAAAATCATTGAAATATATGCATACGACCTTTGTATTTATATCTGCACCAACGCATGTACGTATAGTACAAGCATAGTCTACTAATTCAGTAGTTGCTCGTGCAATCTCCGTGGTCGAAAATCTCGACGTAGCTAAGAAATTTTTGAAGAAGGTCAGTAGAGCGAAAATTGTTGTCTAAGTTGTATCGTTCAACAAAAACGACAATTCTGTTGTGTATATATACATATATATATATATATATATACGTTTAAAATGAATATCAAATATTTGATATTTTTGCTGGCATTTCTCCACCGTTCAGGTAAATTGATACCAGTTTTAACGAAGTACGATTATAACAACAAGGTAACTGCAGTTATATTGTTATTTGAGGATTATTCGTGAAGGGACTCAGTTTTAACAAAAAGTATATTTATTATTAGTGAAATGAAAATCATTCTCTACAAAGAATACGAAATATATATAAAACATTCAGTAATGTTGTCAAAGTTTCTGTTTGCATTTACTCTGAAACACATGTGAACACATATGAACAAGTTGCTTAATTAAATGCGATTCGTTATACTCAATGTAAATTATCGTAAATTATTGCTATATTTATTAAATCGTTATTATTATAATCAAATTAATTTGTTATAATTAAGTGTAGTTATTATTACATTTAGAGTATTATTGAATAATCAGTAGTTGTGCATTTATATCGGATCGTATCGAAGTGTAAATCTAAGATTGAAGAAAGTATTACATATTGTTGATATCTTGAATCCTCGGTAGATTCAATTCCTCGATAGATAACCTTGCACTAACATTAGAATCAGATAGTGATACACGTACGCTCACTGCGAGCCAATATAATAATATTATAGTAATTTTTATTCATTTAGTTTTATTCTATTTATATTTAAATAACGTACAGAGATTTACACAATTAAACAAATGTGGATCGATGTATTAAACATAAATTCCAAATAATTAAAATTTAACGAATCGTACAATTCACAGTTTTACAAATTAGTGAATTTTGAAGGCGGTGTACGTCCATTTACGACCCTGAAAAATGATATTGGTCTAATTAATTTTCAAAAAAGCCATTTGTATAATGAACTTACATCTACTTAAACAGAGAGAGAGGCGCGAACAAATTAAGTAGACCTTATCAGGATTCTTCAATCGATGGAAAGCCAAACTCTTCGATATTTCAACGGAAGCTGGGCTTACACCACTTTGAAAATAAGCGGCTTCAAGTTGCTCGTGTTCCACCGGACCAAAGCATTCTCTCATTCACAGGAATTTAAATGAAGTTGTTTCGTGATTGCTTCCAGTTGAAAAGTAAAGTATGATTGCAAATAAGAAATAGCAAAGTACAAGAAGCATCGTTACAGTCCATGTGTTCTATTTTTTGAAACCCACGAGTGTTAATGATATTTTAATCCCTACATTTAATTGTCTCCAACTTGAATAATTTTAAACAAGTGCCATTTATTACGTGTATAATTTATGGAAGGACAAAAGTGACAAGCAGCTTGTAGTAAAATTTTTAATTGGTTGCCATTTATTTTTTATACAAATAGAGGTTAATTAGCGTGCGCACACAGGGCAATCACAATGTTTAGTACAATGCAGAAAGTAAATGTCATATAGGTAGTAGGGCCTCGTGTAATCTCGGGGCTATCTAGCTAGATTAACGTCGTGTACATCAGTTGTAGGCTCATCGCTGTCACGTTCGTGTCATCGAGTAATCGCAACTTCTGACAGTTCTAAATATCATTTTTGCGATGAACAACTTGTACATAATTTTTACAACTCTCATAGGTAAGAGAAGAATCGCTTACTAACTAAAACAAAGCCTCATTTCACATTAGAGGAAATTACCTTTTTTCTGCAGCGTATTTGGTTTTGACATCATATTTTTACAATATAAAAATTTAATGAAAAGTGTTATAACATAAAATCTGATTTAATCGTGATTTAAATTGCAAATTTATCGTATATAGGAACAAAAGAAGAAATGTCAAAAATAGTTAAGGTGCACGAGCTTCTTATAAAAGGGAGAAAATCTATTTTATTCATTAAGTCAAGTCTGTGTGAAATCGAATCGAATAAAAGAATAGTTTGTACAATAACGCGAAGATAATATTTGTCAAGTATTGTATAATAATTAAGTAGTCGATGAAGAACGATAATCCAATGAAACTTTTATGTCTGGCAAATAAGTAAAAATGTCATCGTATAAGCTTAAACTGTGATTGTGTCGGCGCTATTATGTGTTTGCGATTTATAAAAGAGACTCGACAGCAATCAGCAAAAATTGATAAAAACAGTGCAACGGAACTTTAATAACCGGAAGCTTACGTTATACTCATTAGAATTCATTTGAATTCTTCATCAGCCGTATGTAAAAGCGCCAATTTAAAAGCAGCGACATTCCTTTGAGGGTCGATTGAGTGTCAATTTAGGACGTACGAAACCATCGTTCAAGTTTTCTCAGAATTTTCGGTGCTGTTTTCCACCCTGATATCTCATTAATGGGAAACCACATTTATTTCTCTGATGTTCTGTTTAGTCAACGGTCAATGAGGTTAATTTTATTTCCTGCCGCACGCATTACTTATCGAATTTATTGGGTGATGAACTCCCAACGCGGATAGACGAACATATTTCACAGGAGACACATTAGGAGGACTGTGTATATACCTGAAAAACAGAAGTATGTGTTTTTATTCTTGAGAATTTCTATTAAAACTTGCGTACCTTTGGATTATTTATTTGCTAACAAAATGGTAATGTATAATGGTAATGACTATAATGATCCATACACATTAACTTATATGTAGATCGCAGATTTTTCTGCGTTTATAAGAAAAATACCAAAATGCATGAAATGCACGTAATATACAGAAACACATGAAATATACAAAGTACGATATCTGTTATAATATTTAGTGTGAAAAACAGATATTTATAGTATGTAAAAAAATATTATACATAAAAATATAAATTTGCAAAAACATTCGCAGTCTGCTTTATACATTTCGGTTGAATTTATTAACTATTCTTATTCAGTGTTTTGCATAGTGATTCGTACGTGTGCAGTTTTATCTTCAGTGTGTTGTAACTTGTTGCAAGAGACATTCTTCCTTATAGAACATAAACTACAGCTAGTTACAAAACGTTTGCTATAACTTATTACTACTTCCTTTGTTCTAATTTATAATCTATATTATAATCGGTTTACTGGATTGCAGTATTATCTGGAACTTTGGTAATCATTTCCGTAATCATTTAAAGATACGAATGCAGCTTACTGTCCGATTACTTCAAGTACGTAAACAGTCAGCTGTTCGTTATATTAATAAATCTAATAGATAGTTTAATGAGTCAGTATACACATACATACAACATTGCTTATCAGAAGAAAAATTTTAGTCATCGTGTCAATGAAATGTTAGTGTTACGTTAGTGTAACATGTCTCGTGTGATAGTTGTAATGCGCTGACTACCCTTCTTCGTACAGTTCGATGTACAGTAGGATGTAGTACGTTAATAATTCGCCTCATCTTCTCAATCATTGGTTTCCGGACTTTCATTTACGTATCGATGAAATCCTATAATTGTAATCGTATACGATTCGCACTGCACAGGACATCGCAAAAACAAGTGTTCCATTCAAGATTATTTTTCTATTTTATTGTACAACACATAGGAAGATGTTATGCTTCTGCGATTTAAACAATTTTGATAGAAATATAATAGTGTTTGCAGAATTACAGTATTAGTTATCGAATCTATAATCGATATAAATATCGAATATCGAAATCTATAACCTAAACTGAAGTTAGCAACCAAATTTTTGCATGATTATCTATGTATGTGTTAGCATTTTTTATTCGAAATGTATACAAATTAACACACACGAATGCTATATATTATATGTTAAATGTTATAATATTTCATTTGATTAACTGTCGATTTGTCTACTCGAAGACGTTTTTTTAGAGTTTCATGTAGAGGAGATCGCACTGGACTCAAATCTTTAACTGAAAAGTTTCTCTTGTTTCAGGCTTATACGAAGTAACTGCGTCTGATGACTGGTCATATTCGGGTGATCATGGTAATTATTTTTAGATAATGTCCGCAGATATGTCCTATACTGTATGTTAATTGAAAAAGTGTTTGGAATAAAACTTACGTTGTTTAGAGGGAACATCTTACGATGGCATTCGAGATCTCAAGACGATCTTTGTTTTTTTCAGTAGAACTATACGTTTTTGTATGCATCGTTTTGCATGCATTGTTTAATTTTCTGCAAAAGAACATGAAGGTTCTTGGGTGGAAAATTGATGAATTTAAAAGATATTTAATCTTATAAAACTTATCGTATTAAAGATAAGAAAAGATAACACTGTTCTTTTATCTTTATATGATGAAATTAAGGCTGAAATGTCTTTTAAACTGATATCTTAATACCTTTTTTTTTTTTAATAAAAAATTGACAGCTGCTTCGAACGGTGTTACCATACAACTCGATTCAATTCAATTTTCACCACGTGAAAACAAGTATAGTTCCATTTAAAAAACAAAGGTTACCTTGAGATCCTGAAAACACCTTCAGCTCCCTTTGAAACAAAACAAATTTTATTTGAAACCCTTTTTCGTATAATGTATAGTTTATGAAATACTTGTGTTGATCGATTAAAGTGATACATCCTGTATATGTATGCAGAATTATTGGATCATTCTGTTCAATACATAAAATTATTTACAGACAAGAAAGCATCAGTAAATCAGAGAATATAACACTTATACTTTTTGCGTCATTGTATCCATCTCGTCAATTGTCCTCTTCTTGCAATCTGTACACTGTACATACAAAAATAACGTAATCAGGACAAACAATGAATCAATTCGATCGAAGTTTTTCGGTTTTGAAGCAACTCAATGGTCATACTAAATAAATATTGCACCTAGATACATACGTATATACAAATAACATTCTATCAGATTGAAGTAATGTTTATTCCGTCATGTTTATTCCATCGCCTATTTTAGTAAATATAACTGGTATGTTATTGTTTCTGATAAAGGCTTCATGGTATTATGTTTTCCTCTGTTTAGGCCCGGAACATTGGCCAGGCCTGTGCACGACTGGAAAGAGACAATCGCCGATAAATATTGCTACCGAAGATATCGTTAAAACTGATCTTGGTCCACTTAAATTCATAAGATACAATACTGGATTTAACGGCAAAATCACGAACAATGGCCATTCCGGTAGGTAAAGAAAAAAAGTAAGCAAACCTTTTTTACGTTACATTTAAATGTTGTATAATTAGCAAGAGAAATTTCGAGGCTTGACTGTATAAGGCAAAATGGGACGAGAGACGATGAAATTGTGTCCAAGAGTTCCTTCCTGAGTTATAAGCAATAAAATAAAAGAATTGGCCAAAGTGCTGCTAGGGAGGGCAGCGAAAGCGAGCGAAGTAATGAGGCGGTATCCCTCCTGTCAGAGTTTCCCCTTTTATAGACAAGTCAGAGTGTCAGTTATTGTTGTGAGTTGTTGCTTGAACTTTTACAATGACAATTGTACACATTATGTCTCGTATTTCCTTCTAGTACGGATTGTATCGTTGCAGTCAATACGAAGGTTACGTAAGCGAGTAGCAAGAAGGGTTTAAAATGAGTTTCTCTGTCTATCATGTCTAACGGATGATTAGGTTTGAGTCTTTTGTTGGATATATGCGAGATGGTCTGAATCGTGTCAGGACTTAGGTGGTTTAGAAATCGTATGAAGCGTTCAACTGGCAGATCCAGTATAATATCTTATACCTGTCTGAATAAGTATGTCCGTATTTCGTATGGCTGTACCAGTTATAAGCTATTCGTTAGCTATCGAAGTACGAGGATTTCAGCTGAGGCTATTTGATCAATGTTGGTTTCCGAGACAGAGCCCCAAATGGGGCATGCATAAGTTTAAGTGGGCTTAATGGTGGCTTTACATATAAGAATCTTAAGCGCTTGGTTTAATTTAGAGTGTCGTCCCATTAGCCACCAGAGCTGCCTGTTAACCGTATGCGATCTGTTGCGAAGAAACGTGATATGGGGTTTTCAAGTTAGCCGCGTGTCGATATAAACACCGAGATATTTAATATTGTCTGAAGTGGAAATTGGAGAGTTCTGAAAGGCGATAACTGTGCGATTGAAATGGCGTGCGTTAGTGGAGAATACGGTGTGTTGGAATCTTAGCGAGTTCATATTTATTCGGTTATCGATGGTCCTTCGGAAATGAGATCGAGATGATTCTACGTTGCGGAAGCGCAGCTGCTGCCAAAACGTTTGTGCAGAGGATAGCGTGAGCGAAGCATGAGTGTCATCGGCATAAGCGAAGAGATATGTGTCGGAATGTGTAGGAATATCATATGTATTGAGAATAAAATGGAGAGCTCCAAGAATGTTGGGTTGAGGAACATCAATTGAGATCTTTTTGACCGAGGAGAAGCTGTCACGAGAATCAGTGAATATTTCGTCGTTGATCTCAGTAAGCTTAGTTTATCGATTTTATTATTATAGCGGAGTCTATTCGCCCTTCGTTTATGCGAACCAGGGTTTGTTTAGAGTCAGTTGTACGAGTTCGTAAGCGCGTTTGTATTATCCGAACTACGCTGAAGTGTACTTTCAGTTATACGTGTGCGTGTTCTGAAGTCGTACAGATCCGTGTGTTTTCTAAACTGGCATATAAATTAACTATATGTAACTATATATATATAACTCCCAACATTTGTAAAACTTCTAGAAAATTTTTTATTTGTCTGCAATTTTACCAAAATTAATGTAGAACCGAATAACAGTATTGAAATTGATTAAGAAAAACTTTCTCAATCAACGAAATATTAGGTTTTCCGTATCTGTTATTGGAAATTATATGATCATGTTGTATATACAAGCATTATGTATCGATTGATAGTAATTGCATTTACGATTCATTTTACTAACCTTTGTTATAGTACAAATTCGATTGTACGGTGCACCAATTCATCTCGAAGGAGCAAATCTTCCATCTACATATATTTTGGAGCAATTACACTTCCACTGGCCCGCTGAACACACCATAAATGGCATCCGGGACGCATTAGAATTACATTTTGTTCATTATGACGAACAATATGGCAACGCGAATATGGCATCACAACATAAAAATGGCATTGCCGTAGTTGCTACCTTATTCGAGGTACGTTGATTTGAGCAATTTTAATAATTTTCTACATTGCCACTAATACGTATATTTGCAAAAAAGTTTGTCGCAAAATTAGTCTCGATCGAGAGATCAAGGCCGTTTTTGTTCCATTCCTTGTTCTCTATCCGTCACGAGTATCAGATGTCTCAAAGGAATCATCGTGGGTCTCAATTCAACCAACACCAAAATGCTATAATGCTCGAGACGTTTACTTTTGATCATCCTATAAATACAAAAAAACGAGTCCGACTGTGCAATCTGTTTTTGGTTTCTGTTGCTGAATAATGGCAAAAAGTCATACATTAACTTCTAAGGAGTAATTGTAGAAACATTTTCACGATCTGCCTATACTGCTGTTGAGTGTATTGTAGAGTATTTTCAAATTCATCGAGCTTAATTAAAGCACTCTCAAGAAAAGGGGAGTTTAGAATAGAACAAAGGTAAGACACATCAAAAGAATTAGTTATTATCGAATGATCTAATGTCTTCTGTGATGTAATCTACTCGTTTATAGGGGATATATAAGTAGATTTAACGAGTTATACAAATATATCATTTAAATCATGTAATCTTTGAATTTAATTTTGGAGATAATATCTTTTTAAATTGTTTCACGGTATACCAATAAATATTTGTATCTAAGCTCAAACGTTATATCGTATACTTAATCTGATAGGTACTATTGAATTTTATTTGTATATTTCGGAGCTAATTTAAAATAGCGCTCATTATCTTCAATGCATAACTGACACCCTCTGGTCAATGCTTCGTAGAGTATTAATGATGCATATGCGGCAGTAATGTGTTGCGTTCTATCTCAAAACGAGCAATTTTCGCATGTGCAGTTAACGTTTACCAGATGGGTCATCTGGTTCATTGATGCAACCCATTGATCATCTCAACTAAATTCATAGCCTACCGACTGCAAGTGGAGATTAACATTGTACAAGTGCAATTTGCGCTACGTTGATTTAGACGTAATTCTCTTGAACGTTTCTCACGACTACAAAATTATTAGCAACAGGTTTACAAAAATTGCACGCGTTGACCACTTTGACAATTTTAAATTTCTTATCGTTGATCTGATGAATGCTGATATCTTCTATCATCCATACACCGATTACTCCTTTTATTCTTAGTTAGTAACATCCTCTTATCTTCGTTATACAGTTACGTTTAGCGTTGTAGGTGTAAATCGATCTGAGGGGTTCTAAATCGTGTGTTTGGTATTAAAATGTAGGCTCCGTTAAGTATGGTAATCGTGATAATCATAAATTGCATAATTCTTTCGTCGAAAATCTTTTTTAACGTTCTCGTATGTTCAATATTTTTTAATTAGACATCAATATATAGGACGATTATTTTTCTGTGTCAAAACACTAGCAATTGGTTTCATGTTTTTAGTAACGAACAACATAGTATAGATTCGATAAGATTGATATAAAATGAGATTACGAAGAAATATTCAGGAATAACATATCTTACGACGATATAAAATAAACATTTAATGGTAACGCCATTCACGAAATTCTAGTACGTAGTTCACCCAAGATCGTAAAGCGGAGAAACGTGATAATGTTGCAAACACTATTTTCTAAATTTATCTTGCAATTATTTATGCCATTTTCTTGTAATAAATAAATTCATTCAAGTAAGGGATTTGTTTTTCGAGAATCGAACATTGATAGTTCATTTACGTAATGAAATTGAGAAATTGATAAAAAGTGGAATTGATCGGCTAGACTTCTAAGAAGATCGTGCATCATCACAGCTTACGCTCGTCTTGGTCCGTGGCAGGAAAACAAGGAAAGTTTCACACGAGATATTTTATCGTGAATGATACATACATACATCAGTGATGCCATTTTTCAATTGTGCAGCTCTCAGCTTGCTTTGCCGCTGTCTAGAATTGACCACGGGAGATGATTACACGTTCGGTTCCGTTTGAGTCCCGCTTCCTCTCCCGACTTCGCTAGTGGTAGGGTAGCTACAGACGGGTCGATTGGTGAGAAATTTTAGCAAGTCGCCTCGTGTAAATGCAAATTTAGTAGACTGGCTTAATCGACTGACGAACGAGGGTGGAGTGACAGGTGACGCTTTTGTGTACGAACACAGAAATTTAGCAGTATGGGTCAAGCTAAGTCCACACCGATAGACAATCGTTCGCAGACACGCGTTGCAGTCGATCGGCATTTGTCTTTCGTGGAAAATTTGTAGACGACGGAAGACAAAATTACACAAACCACGTGCACATTAACAGACAATCGTTGACAGATGTGCGAAGCAGCCTATAAGATGCACATCCGCGGACAAGTATTTTGTTCTCCATTGGAAAACAGGAGGAAACGTGTGCGGCCAAATGTAAGAAGAATGTGTTTCTTAGCCCGCTGTGCGATGATGAGATTTATGACATGGTATTTGCTATTGAGACGAAAGTCGAAGATGGAGAATTTGAAAATACACGCTGTTTATCGAAATCACTGCAACGCTATATATTTAATGTATCAAGTTAGGCGAGGCATCTTTTATAATAGGTGAACCTGTATAAAATGTCCGTTTATGTATCAATGGATGGAATTTTCTGTTAGGTTCCACGCCATGAAATTGTGTGAAAGCTCTATTTATCATTTGAGATGTCCATGCTCTTTCTGATATTAAATTAAAATTCGAGTTAATACCTATCAGGAATAAAGATATGTTGGTCATCGTCATTGATCGCCTTGACTGCCTCGATGTTCTGGACATAACAGATGAAGTTCAAAGCATCGGCGCTGATCGCCGTGTCTGTTCTCCATCATGATTCATAACACATCACTGCTGACATCGGTCTCCATGATCAGATCTGATACCTTGAAAGAGGTCCTATCTTCTCACACTGCGAATGTAAACCTGAATAATGTGCATTATAACCTGCCCAACTCATTTCCCGAGTAATTTGTAATCGACATCTATTTTTAATTTTCGGTTAATACAGTATGTATGCAGTAAGTTTCCGGGCGTAAAACATGTCTGACAAATATTTATATTGCAGTTACGACAGAACTTCGTTTACTCGAGCTCTATTTATTTGAACTCTATTTATTTAGATATTTACATAACACGTATGTATGTGAAATATCATTTCAGTTAAATAGCGATGACAATTTGGATATAATGGCAATTTTGGAAGCAGTGGAATTAGTATCTAACGCAGTCGGAAAAACTACGGCTTTGATGGGAACCAAGATTATTCCTTATCGCTTTTTACCAAAAAATCATACGACGTATTACCATTATGACGGATCGTTAACTACTCCTGGATGCCAGGAAATTGTCATGTGGTATATTCTTGCCGACAAACTTACGTTATCAGAGCAGCAGGTAAATTTATTTCTCGATTTCATGATCTATTTATATATATCTAACAATGAACGTTTAACACGTTGACTGGCACGGTGATGATCGGTGAGCCACGTTGTTAAATTTTTTAAAACGATTAAAATAAGATAAATTTCATGATCTGACAAAGGTTGAAGAATGTAAACGACACAGATAACATTATAATAGGATATAATACAAATACGATATAATATTTTGCAAGAATTAAATACTATGATGTAGTATATTTCAATATATCGCGAGACTCAGGACAAAATACGCGTGCGATTTTACATATAGGTATATATTAAAATGCAACATCCTGTAGAATCTTTACTTTATTTTCTTGGTTTTCAGTTAAGCATCTTTAGAAGTGTTGGAACAAACAACGGTACACTGATCTTCAATCACAGACCAACGCAGAGTGTCGGAGAAAGGACAGTTTATCATCATTTGGACGGATATTCTGCCGCGACAACCCATTTGAGCAATTTACTGAACGTGTGCTTTAGTCTCTTACTAACCAAATTGTTATATTTCAAATAATTCCAGTTAACTTCACCTGTGAATTTAGAATTATCTAATCGCATAAAATGTGATCGATATATCGTTGACATAGCAATAATGAGAGGGGGCAAGATAGGGGAAAGGAGAGTTCGGATGAAGCGAAGGAGGAGGAAGATGAATTAAGAGGTAGAAAAACAAATAAGGAAACTGGTCCGTATGAGTACTATTATGCGTTTCCATAATGATTCGTGACTGTTCACAAGTAACACAAGATTTGGTTCTAAAATGGTCCGTCTGATTTAATCGTAAATATACGGTAACTTTTATATGGATTTTCGGAATGGTTTCATATTTTACTATATTATAATCACGACTGTTGTGTCACATTATAGTGCTGACAAAATTTCAAAATGTTTCGTATAATGCACGTAGTATATTCGTAACAAAGTTATATCGTAAGCGTTCGACGTGTACACGAGTAAGATTCAGTGACATATAACAATAAATCAAATGTACGCGACAGTGAAGCAAGTCATTATATGTGTAGAGCATATGAGAATGAATAATACAACCGCGTTGTATATAATTAGTGATGTGATAAACGACATGTGTACATAATGTATATCTTTGTAAATGATTTTATGTTTAACAAAAAACCAGCTAGAGTAGCATTTAGACATATTAACAACGTAGGTAACTGGCTAATCTTTCACCATTAATGATAATATTCTGTCACAATCGTTTTATGACGTATACTTCTTTCGGAGAATATAAAGATTATAAAATTAAAATTTTATTTGTTATCCTCTTTATGGTTAATTAAGAGTACGTAGCATAAGCATTTAAGGAACTAATTAAGTTTATTTGTATATTTGAATACGTAATTTCGAAAAATAGTGATCATATATATCTACTTATGGCAAGGAGCTACTTTGCTAAAGATAAGTAGCGTAATGTCGTTTTCTCTTTGACGACTTGGTTTTACATTGGATTATTTTATTATGTAAGAGCTTGCCGTCTTTTTGTTCTTCTGACTCGTTCGAACAACCAGTGGTAACGAATTCTATACTGGCACCATTGTCATCATTATTTATATTATTGAATACATTTCGTACGTTTACGTTGTATGTGCATTCACTTTGAAGATGTTTTATTTCAAGATGCGGTGTCTGAAAGCAATAAAGTGTGAAACAACATAAGTTGCATCCAATTTATATGGTATTTACGATCATCGGTAGTATCTGTATAGCAGATACAGCATTTATGAACATTAAATAACTGAATAAAGAAATAATTTCAAAAAAAAAGACAGATAAATGAAAAAGTAACGCACAACATTTAAGTATAATTATATGTTAATATATATACTCTTACTCATAAGTATTAGGACACTTGTGAAAAATAAGATGCACCGAAGATATTTTTAAGAACTTATTAAGACTTGTAATTATTTCGCCTGTAACCTTGTTACATAAACAATTCTTATATTCTATTCGATAATAAAAATTTCATCGATTATAAAAAGTACAATTAAATTTTTTTCTCGGTTATAGGTATTTCTCTGTCTTCGTTGTTAATGAATTTTGGCATTCGTGTCACTGGATTTTTATTCTATTTCATAATTGATTCCGCGAGCCAGATTCAAATTTGTTTTTTTAATTGATTTAAAATTTTCTGAATAAAAATCTATCAAATGACTGTGAACACGAATATGCGTATAATTACTAATCTTTTTGAATTCTTATAACTCTTATGAATGACTTACGACATTACAACATTAACTTACATATGTATATGCATGTAATGCATACCTATGTAGATCAGTATATGCAGTAAATATTGAAATAAATTGGTGCTATGCTTTTTAACATGAAAGATTTATATCCTGGTGATTTCATGCGAAAATATTAAGTATTGCTTGTAATTACCAATTGACCTAAAATACACATACTGTTACTACAAATCGATCAAAGTGTCCAGATACTTATGAGAAGCATACTCATTAATTCGTTACTTTTTCCTACAATTTTTCTAAGATTTCTAAGATTTCACGATATGGATCGTCATCTTGCACGAATACAAAATTCTAGCGGATTAATTATTTTCCAAATAATCTAGCTCAGTCATCACGTTCTGTGAAGAGACCTAGCAAGTGTTAATACTAATACTAATACCTATGAACAGAGGTGTATACATATAATACCTGAACAAGTTTCCACCAGGTTTTCTTCCGACGGGATATGAGTTTTTCCTGCGAAGCTGAGCAGGATGCCTCTCTCCAGGAGACGTTGTACGCCTTTACATCGTGGTTCATCGGCCAAACCAAACGTACCTTGACCTCGCCGCAGTGACAAGTCATTCGCCGTAGATGAAGATCGCCGTGGTATCGCTCGCATCTGTGAGATCGCCTCCCCAAATCGGCTTCAATGAAAGGGCACTTCTTCGTTTGTTATGCCAATTATTAGGCTCGACAAAAATACCAGTAGCAGATGGAAGAAGAGCAGGCTGGAATTTCATCTTACCGTATGCCATGTAATCGGTGCTATTGAAAACTTTCGAGGCTTTTCGCGACAACAATCGCCGGCCACCGTACAGTGCAACAGCTTGCACTTGAAGGAAGTACTGACACCTCAGTTCCAAATTTTTCAGTTCGTAACACGTTTTGTCCTAAAAATGCAAGGAAAAGAAAATCACTTTCGTTGCAAGTCATAGTGAAGATATATAGGGTGTATCATAATACGCGGGGCCCATGTTAGGATGTCACGAACATTTGTCATTGTTTTTTGGGCCTTCTGTCTACTCTTCAATTCGGTCCCACATATTATGAAGCACACACCCTGTTATACGCCCTGCACATTGCGCATCAACCATCCTGTAGTTATTTGTAAATCAACGTACATTTATGAAAGAATTGTTTTAGATACAATGATAGGTTTCAGATTGAAAGTAGACAACTAGGAAGAAGAGTGAAAACTAGAATATAATTTGTGATACTTGTAGTTACTTGTAAACCAATGTATATTTATGGAAGAATTAGAAAATTTAGTGTAAAGTGAAGTTTCTTATCGCTTTAATATTTCACATAATTTACACACAAAAAAAAAGGTGCATATGTTAAAAGAATGTGTAACGAATGTGTAAGAATAGAATGTGTAACGATACTTCTGTATTGTAATTAGGTAAATCTTACTTTCAGAACTGTTCTATGATAAACGAGAATGGAATCATTAGTCGGTCCGTGAACAAGGCGGCTCCAAAACACTTTGTAAAATGTTATCGGCACATCCGAAGCTGGTTTACTCCATCTTAGAGTAATACGCAGTTTTCCATCTACCAGTCGCGCATCGGATAGAGTCAAGTTTTGTGGTTCTTTTGGATTCCGTGGGTCTAAAAGTAATAAATTACCCTTTAAATTTATAATATGACATCCGCAAAGAAAACTTCCCTCTCTTCTCTACTTTCTGTCGCAAAACTTCGTGAAAGCTAATTCCATGTTTCCGTAATTGTTAATTTATGATATTGTAAGTACCTGTGCGATGTTTCTGATGTCTCGATGATAAATATACACTGCGTTTATGCATTATAAACTATACAAGGCTATCTTCTGTCATACAAAGACAATTAAAGGGAGACCTAGAAAGTTGTAATTACATGACGAACGATCGACGGTTCAACCGAAAGAAGTTTAAATTGCACATGATATATTATGCACGTCAGTGTATGGTGCTACTGGTAAAAATGATAAATGGATAAGCAGATCATCGATGGAATGACAAGGTGCAGTATTATCAAATATTTCAGACCGATAAAACATTCGCGAGCCTCTCTATCGACGAAAAGCATACCGTTGACTATTAACATATTGTTTTAAGCGATAGTAGACTAATAGTAAAGAATTTATTAAAAAATCAGATATTTTATCAACTACATATTTTCGTTGCAGCTGACTCTTAATTCGTTCCACGTGACAAATGGAACATCTGTATTACATTTTACGTAGCTATAACGTATTAATTTATCTAGGACAGTTTCGTATTTGTATTATTGTATATTATACGAATTAGACGTAAAGAAATCTTCCATAAATAAAAGGGAAAGAAAATTTATGGAAACAAATTTATGAAGAAAAATTCGTTCTAATAACTCGTTGTTACGTCTGTTAGTCGTTGTTATGAGTGTACAGTGATAAGATGAAGTGAGATATACACGAGAGCACAGCTCAGAGAACCCATCTATAATTACAAATTAATTACGTATCATATATTCTTGTTCTTACTATCGAAAAGAATTAGTTAGCCAGCGGAATGGATTTTCGAGATTTGAATCCTTTTAACATTTTTTTAAGCACGCTTTCGGCCAATGTTTTGCCGATGTCGAGTAGAGAAACGAAATTACCCATCTTTTTCAAAATCTACTCGATCATCATTTGGTTAATAGAAGTGACATATTTTATTGCTTGTGTTGTCGGAATTTTGACCGTATCGAGGGAAAAAGCATTGAAGGATGGAACGGTAAACCTTGTGATCGCGATAGAAGTGCTCGTGCTAATGATTTATATGCATAATCGTAAGAATTTACTACGTGGATTAATTGAAAAATTAAACCATCTTATCGAGGACAATAAAATACTTCGGAATATGATAGTTAGCGCACTGGAACCAATGGAAAAGCCGTTGAAAATTTATACGGTTGCTAGCGTTGGTTCGCTCGCTCTTTGGATATCATTGCCGCTTATCGAAGTTTTCCGGAAGAATGAGTTCCGTTATTCGGATTATCGAGTGCCATTCGTTCTATCCAAGGAACCTTTCCCACTCAACGTTTTCGTTGGCGGCGTCATCTTCCAGATCGTCGGCGGTACATACACGCTAATCAGAAAGATTAGTTTAGATATCTACACAATGTACATCATTCTGTTAACGACGGCTCAATACAAGTATCTTCGAATGAAATTTGCGACGATATTCGAACAGAAACCCGAAACTTTAAACGGTTCGTACAACGATATTACCCGGCAGAATGTCTCCTTTAGGAACGAACGGATGATCCAGCAAATGAGACTGTTGACCCGCCATTACGAAACTGTAGTTGAGTAAGTATAAGAACGCGATCAGTATAAATATTCATGATATATAAATGAAAGTATATATTAGCTCGTAGAGGTATAAGCGCAAAAATATTTTTATTACACGATAAGCTTGTTTCATGAATACCTACACGATAGCGTCGCGTTAAAACGTAAAGGAGGCGAAAAAAAGAAATACTTATACAAGTGACAATTTCTGGTTTGTTGGAGTTTTATCGTGTAAAAAGCGTACTGCTTTGTAACAACTACGTGCACTGCTGTGTATACGACAATTCCTGAGCGACGCCAGTAGTTGGCCGCAAATCGTACGACGTTATTAGCACGTTAGAAGTCGTACAGCGTTTGCACTTTCGTTTTCTTACAGTACCATTTTACGTTACATATACGGTATTAGTTTTTTCTTTACGTTTCGCACTCGAACAAATAAACGCTCTATTCTAATAACTCATCACTGTGAAAATTGATTGTCTCTTCCATGTTGGTCTTTACAATTAGTGGAGCGTTCAGAGCGTTCAATATCTATTGTCAATATTTCGCAGTTCTCAACATCGTGTTACGCAAAAATCTCTGTATATCGTCGATACAATGTTGTCAGTACTTGATGAAAAATTGCATTTTCCTTGTGCGTTCAACATTATTCAAGATACATTACGTTTCGAGTTAGCGTTTAGCGACGCCTAATTAAAAGAAGCCATTATTTTAACATTATCAGTGGAAAGACTACAGAAGTGGCTTTTAAGAAGAGAAATGTGTTTCCACGCGGATTAAAAATATGTTTCAACGAACACTCTCGTCGATGTTCGATAATATTGAGAATATTATATTGCACATACATTGATCGTCCGACTGTACCTATAACGTTGAGAACCGTGATATATTGATAATAATATTGATTATGTGGACGCTTGTTAAGATTAAGACGAAAGAAAAAACAAAAGAGTTATCAGATTTGTACTCTTTGAACATTTTTTAATTAGAGAAAACACAATTTAAATATCCTTTGATTTTATATAGACATAGTATATGTATAATTCGAGATAAAAATACGATCGATTTGAAGTGGTATGATGATACACGATTAAGACTTGAACGATATGCTAACAAGTTTTGATGGCAAATGTTTGCAATCTGGCAATCGCATTTGCTATACATTTTAATTTTACTTTAGGAATAAATATTCATGAAAATATTGCCCTTTTCACATATATCAAATATCTCAAAAGATTTTTTATGAAAATTTTGAACATACATAATTCTTATATAGCCAAAAATACTAACAGGAAAAATATACATTAATTTGTCTTGAATAATGTATTTTGAAGAAATATTGAAACATTTTTCTTGCCTCAACATGTACGAGATTTACACAATAATATGAAAAGTGGATAATTTGAAAAATATACATCCTTGATATAAGCAATTTTTTTAGAAAATCGTTCGTACACTCAAACAAATTAGTTTCCCAATTTTTACGAGGCCTTCGTACGACACAAAAATTTCAAAGTATTTTCTTCGGACTAGTATACAAAAAAAATTCCATTCTCCGATATTTTAAAAAAGGAAAAAAATCGGATATCTACGTATGAATTACCATTTGTCTTGCGTCTTAATATATATATATATATATATATATATATATATATAATATATATATATATAAATATAATATATATATATATATATATATATATATAATATATATATATATAAATATAATATATATATATATATATATATATATATAATATATATATATATAAATATAATATATATATATATATATATATATATATAATATATATATATATAAATATAATATATATATATATATATATATATATATAATATATATATATATAAATATAATATATATATATATATATATATATATATAATATATATATATATAAATATAATATATATATATATATATATATATATATAATATATATATATATAAATATAATATATATATATATATATATATATATATAATATATATATATATAAATATAATATATATATATATATATATATATATATAATATATATATATATAAATATAATATATATATATATATATATATATATATAATGAATGTAATATACATGAAATTGTGTGAAATTTTCCAATTTTTGACGACTTTGTAGATGTGACATTTTTTTGATGACATTTATCGTCGTAATAAAATTTCATAATTATTGTAGGATTGCTGTTATGTTGAAGAAATTGCTTTTTCTAAACGTCGGAGTTCATTACATAAACAACGTTTTCCGGTTCTGCTTTCTAAGTTTTATGTTCGTAATGGTATATTTTAAGTTCCAACTTTTTAATACAGAATTTTGTTTCCTAGTAAATTCTGTTTCTCCTGTAACTGCTTATCTTGTGCAGACGACAACTATTTACTTTTTCAGAGTACTAATATGTTTTCCGAAAGATGTTTAGTTATATTGTATACAATTGGTGCGCTGATACAATTTTATATATTGTGCTATTGTATCCAAGAGCTACTCGACGCGGTAAGATCTTTTAAACAGTATAAATAGTACGATGATATTGTTTTCTGCTAGTTAATCTCTCTTGGTTAATAAGATATATATGTTTTAGTAATAGCGATGCAATAAACAAGAAAGGCTATATACACATATATAAACATTAAGTTTATATACATCCATGAATTTTAATAATATCAGGTATACAAATGAATAAGCCAAATTTTGTTTAAACGTAAAAAGATTGACAGTAAAATGAAATGGTTCCTCCGTCCTTTTGTCGCTACGTATTGTTAACATCTTACTATTGAAAACGACATTTCATTTAGCGTAGTTTCGATAACTACGAAACGGTAGTAAAAATATAATCCTAAAAAATTCAATTTATAAGTGACAACGGAAAAAGGTGCATATTCGTCACTGTATTTTTCATGAATTGCCACAAGGAAAAAATGCTGAAAAAACATGTGAATCGATCTGCAACTTTCTCGCTGGAGATATTGTATCGTACGATGAGTGTGCGTTTTGTTTTAAACGGTTTGAGAATCGACGACTTCTGTTTGATCGACAAGCAGAACGCTCTGAAAGCTCACGAAAGTGCGATCACGACGATTTTAAAAACAACTACTGACTGAGAGTTCAATGCAAACGTAAAAGCAGCTTGCGAAGCAGCTAAAGGTAATACAGCAGATCATTCGAATCACCTACACGAAGTGGGGAAGATCCGGAAAGAAGAGAGGTGGGTGTCCTATAGGATTGCTGCATGATAGCGCCAGACCTTAAGTTGCTTTTGATGCAAAAGACATCGCAACGAGTCTCAGATGGGAAGTTACGCAATATCTGGTATATTCAGCTGACATTGCTCCATCAAACTAACACCTGTTTCGGTCGATGTAGTCACTTTCAACCATTTGACAAAATATAAAAATAGCTGGACCACTTCATCGTAACAAATACGCCTAAAATACGATTTAAAGTTATAGAAAACGATGGTGGTTATTTTGAGTGGAAAATTTGTTTCACTCTTTTTAAAAATAAATCTTGGATCTGTGAAAAAATCGAATTATTCATTTGTACACCTAATATAGTTTATGTAATGAGATTAATGTATTTACACATAGTAATGCGTTATATATACATATATACATATATACAATTGTACAATGTATTAATATCCATTCGAAATTCCTAGAGCAACGCTGTAGCTGACGATGTAATATATGAAAAGTGGTATTTGCACGACGTACCACTGCAACGTGCACTTCTTATGGTAATTTCTGCCAACAAACTAGAGTGCAAATTATCTAACTCTCGACACATTGATTTAACTCTGTCGTCATTCATGTCGGTAAGTGTACTGTCTTAATAATAATAATTACTTTTACTTGATAATTATGCTACCTGTTACATACAATACGTCCAGAAGTAAATCGAATCGATTGACCAATTGCCAAATTGTTTTATATAGAATTTCTTTTGTTATTGTATTTTTATCTTTAACGTATAACAGCGCAATTTGATCGATTTGCTTTAGGCAAGGCCGGATCGAAGCTTTTGGTGGTCCTGGGACTATGGACCCAGCGTTGGGCCCTTTCGTAGAAAGACGAGGGGAGGCATTTAAGATGAAATAAATTTACGTAAATGTGAAATAAAATTTAGTTTCCAATAAATTATATTTCAAAATTAGTTAGCCGTTTTTAAATTTCTATTCGTATTTAGGAATATCTTTTCAATGGTTTGGGAAATTTAGGATTCTTGAATGACTAGGCTCATGGCTATAGCTCCCCTCCTCTAGAACTCTTTTAATCCGGGCCTAACTTTTAGACAGGACATCTATATATAATTATAGATAATTTAATTAACTACTCCCTACTTAACTATTTTTTCGCTGTTTTTCTAGATCCTAAATCAAGCATATTCCGTATGCTTATTGTTTCTTAAATCAAGACCTGATTAAAATTGAATATTATAACGTTATGCAACGTAACATATCTTAATCGTTAATTGATCTCTACGATATAATTAAATATAGCATCGTAAATAAAGTATTTATTTAATTACAATGTAATATTAACGTTTGAAGAATATGATTATATTTTATGTGATAAAACAATTAATATGGCCATAAATTAAAAATGTATGTAGATCAAAATTAAAAATGTATTATATTTCAGCAATAACTACAATATTCGCTTAATTTCGATTTCAAGATAACTGGTACTCACAAATTGGATTACCGCGAACAGTTTCTCGCTTCTGTTAACCATTAAGTAACACAAATGATCGGCAAAAACCAAGTACACGTAAAATACTCATTCGCGATAATCTTTCATCATATTTCGAGTCGTGACACAGAAGTTGTTGCATCAACTTCAGTAGGAAGAATAACAACGTTCGCTGTGTGCACTTTGATTTTTTCCCTGCGCGATTTCCATGTCTTTTGCAACGTGTAGCAAAAGCAGGATATTTTTCAGAATGAACGACGAAAAAAGGAAGTGACTTAAAGTGGTTACAGGAAACCAAAGACAAATTTTCCGCAACTAAACTCGACTGCTTGTTAAATTGATTCCTTGTCACGATAAGTGTTTATAGATAGCTAGTAATCGAGTTTGGTAATTGAGATAGCAAGTAATAGTTAATTTCACGCACTATTTCCATCTGGAAACAAGTTTGCAGAGACCCGATTTTAGATCAGGACAACGTGCTGCTCGCTTCAAAACTGGAATAAGCATGTTTCGTGCGTACTTGCGTTGTTCTTTGGACGCAATAAGAGTAACGCAGAGAAACCTTGGATGAATTCTTTTTCTTCTCTAACTGTCGCGTATTGCTCGGATTCTCGCGGAAGAATCGCAAGTTCTCCTGAGGAGCAATTGCTGGATGGTTAGAGCTAATTCGTTTGCAAAGACTATGCAATATTAATTAAGTGGTTTTGAGGCCATTCCCTTCTAAAGCTAAGTCTACATTTGACAATAAACGTGAACCAATTGTAACATGACGAGTGGCGCTTTTCGCGCGGAAGTGTCCTGCTCCAGATATTTGGCAATCGTTTATCGCACGCTATTCGGAATAATGTAACGCTTACCTTTTGTTTTAAAAGGTTTGGAAGGCTCCGAGTATCCTCGGGATCCATTTGCATTGATGGCTGCTACACGAAATTGATACCAGTGTCCTGTCTTTAATCGTTCTCGAATCGTTGCGTGTGACTTCGATGAAACGTGACGAACAATCCATGGACTTGATCTAGATTCCAGGTACCTTGGTCCAAGTAAATGTCGTTCCTCCACCAAATACCTCACACCTTTGATTCCGGTAGACTCATCGATACGCTGTGCCTTAGAATTATACCAAGTCAAAAAAACTAAGTTGTTCTTTTGTTGCCTGATTTGGACATTCCTGGGTATCACGGGTAAATCTGAAAAAAATGAAGAAAAATGCAAAAATGTGAATTTTATCTTGGTTTGTGCGTAAATATGTACAATTCCCGCTGAAAAGTTTGGAGCACCGTCTCCAATTTCAAGTTACGATAAACGGTTGAAATTCTCCCAGGATAAGCAACACGATATTTACATCGTCGCTTCTTACACGAAACAACAAATACAGAGATAGTGCTGTGTCCGAATATTAATGACAGTAACTGTGTTTCAATGAGGGAATGCCGCATAACATTTAGTCTTGCCTTTAGAAGGCCTGTATCGAATGACTTACTTGAGTCAACTGCTGTCGAAATACGCTCTAATATACTGTTCTAAACTGTGGTTATTATCAACTGTCATAAGCTCTTATAAACTGTTGTTGCAAAAGCTTGTGTCTTAAAAAAAAAAAAAATTCTCGGTCGGATATGAAATAATTTAAAAAGTTTGAAGCTCAAGAGATTGGAATGCTGGTCTGTTAATGATTTTTCGAGCACAGCGTTCGAAATTTTGCTTGTCGATTGGTTTTCATTGAACGCAGTGAATTTGTAATTAGCGTGCTTCTATGGTATCACGTACGCTTCCCCATGCATCTCTATTGTATGGTACACCTTTGTGAAGAGAAGGTGGTCCTTTGTACCGGGATGTGTCTGAAGCTTCGGACTATAATTAGGCAAAGTGGTGGTTTTGGCTTTCGATAAAGCGCAGAGTTACGCTCAGCTAATTTCTAGACTGCGGTTTTTCATGCATAAAAGTGTAAAATTGCACAGAATGCACGTACTGTGTGCAGATATATGAAATATCCAAAGCATAGTGCTTTCTATTATATAATACTGTGTAAATAAAACAATTTTCTACCCTGATCGTATTTTTTCAATTTCAATATTATCAAATAGATGAATTTGCATAAAAATCCACGATCTATTAATCGTTTTAACGATTCGGAAACTTCGAGTTAATTATATTCGTAGACATGGGCATGCCAATTTCGGTGTCCTTTCTTCGAAAACATGTAAACGAAAATCCTCTAGCGTCTTAATCCGGCAAGACGGAGTAAGTTTCGGATATTTCTATAAAGTAAGAATTAAACAAAGATTTGTTCTATATTTGCGTTAGTGACTAAGAAGGTGCGTTAAGTCGAATATTAAGTCTTTTATGCAAAAATTCCTGCATATTATTGTAATGTGGATTGATGTAACATAAAGTAAATTAAAAATTCAACTTTTTCAAGTTTTAGAATTAGACCATTTTTGTAGTCACCAGCGCATTTATTCCCCTCTTTGGTAAACAGTCATAAAAAGACATCCACCTCCGATTTCCAATAATTTTTTGATATGCCGTTGTAGTCACCTTAAGTATCGTTGAGTAAGGTTTCAGTTGGGACTCTCCGTTTATCGAATAGTTATTGTCAAGAAGAGTTTTTACGAACGTGTAAACAGTAGTTTATTTATTGATACAATAGTAGGTATCAGTATCTTTACTGAAAAAAATCTTGTAAATTGTTTGTATCTCGAATAAATATAAATAATTTAATCGCACGTAATTAATTAGTTATTCGTAAAGCATGCAAAATCAGTGTTACAAGCGCATCACCTGCAGATACAATCACACTAATACACGCGCACTGCCTCTCATACAATTAATAGTTTTAGACTGTAAATTGGAGAAATTACGTTCGTGTGAAGAAACCTTAATTATAAATGACAAATAAAATCTAATGCGTACCAGTTACATTGTCTAAACCGATGGGATGCATGCATGTGACACCGCAATCATGTCTGCAACATTTTGCTAAATCTGGGCAACGAGAGTCATCGACGCAAGCTATCAAACAAACAGCTTCAAAGGGTGACATGGATGCTTTATCAGGACAGTGACCAGGTTTTGTGTAATTGGATGCCAAGCAATTTTCCATACACTAAAACAAAACAATACATCGAACAGTTATACTCACATGTATGTACAATATATTATATATTCTGTATAAGAAAATAAATATACAAAAAAGAGAAAGTAATATAAATAAAAAATTGTTAAATATATATCAGGGAAGATTCTATCTCTTTCTGGTTAAATCGTTTCGTTTCCAACATCCAGAAATGCTATTTATATTAAAATTAAAATTGTACCTCCACATTTACCGATATTGGTCTTCGTACAAGTAACATTTTCAAGAAAAGCAAATTTTTGTTTTCCAAATGGTACCTACAGCCTTTTTTATTTTCACTCTTCAACTGTTTTGGATATCTGAAGATGTCGAGTTCGTACACTTAAACCAATTTCAATCTCAAACATTTCTCTCTTTTATGTTTCCTCGAACAAGTTTCTTGCTAGCCTGCACAATATGGTTTTCGTCAAAATACGCCTCTAATCATCGAAAAAATTTATCTTTGACGATATAGGATGCGTCACTCTTGTGCTATCCGACTTCTGTGGACACACCTTCCCGGGAACGTTGCCTTCTTACTTAAACTGTTTACGTTGCCTAGCAAAAGAAGAGGAATTTCCATAATTGCGAAGAAATCCTATTCTTGCCTTTTGCGACGTAACATCTTTATTTCGGTGAATCATTCTACGTATATTTTTAACCCATTGTTGGCGGTATACTGTGAAATAAATTTTGCCGCAGTTGCCGCGTATTTTTCGAAAATATGTCAATGTTTGTGAAGTGAAAATCGTCGATTCTCACGTTTCTCGTCAGCAGTGTATTAATATACAATGCCTTGCTATACAATGTCTATATAAAACGTATTGAACACCATTATACTTATTATATGGAGTGTAATAGAATATATGGAACTCGTTTCCTGAGGTGATTGTATATCTAAGAACAATGAAAAAAGTTCCTGTAAACATATCCTCTATCTGTCTTGCTTTATGAGATGTAACGAATTTTGCAAACAGAGCAAACTTTATTGAAAATGTGGAAATATCAGGGATCAGAATAGAACAAGCTTTTCAACAAATTCGGGAAACACCAGTAATCGTTCAAAGTGCAAAACGTCTATAGATTTGCCTTGAAATGCAAGGTGGTGATTTTCAGCAACTTCTCTAAGGGCGATTAGATAAGACAAAATCGAAAAAGAAAATTCGTCGTGTCTCATACACGAAGACAGATACACAGTATGTTTATATGAATATTTTTTCATTGTTGTTAGATATACAATCAGCTCAGGTGCCACATGTTCTGTCACATCCAGTATCCTATTATATAATTACATGTCAATTAATTAAGTCGAAATGTATTAAATTTTGCCTCATTTAATAGTTTCACGGGACTACACTAATTTGATACTATGGAAATTAAATATATAGAATCTGTTTAAAAGATACCTCATTAGAAGCAAAGGTATGTGTGAATATTATTTGTAGCCATTGTACAATATTGATATTTTTAATGCGAACTGAGTCACGAAAATTATCACGAATGTATGAATTTTCAGTTTCGTAATCCACACACGTATTCGGTTGGTAATAGTTATCTGGAAAGTGGCCGTCATTATGGTAATTTCTTAGCTCATTCACTTAATGACTTAATACATTGCAAACAGTGCTGTAAACAGCACATTGCGCCGGCAAGATAAAATATCCCAGCTTCTCTTCTGTATATCGTCAAGTTAACATTTGTAAATCGTTATCGATTTGCCTGATAAAAATGAAAGTGAATAGATCGTCTAGAACGTTTTAACGCTATGTGTCTTAGCGTATCGACAAAATGCATGGAACTTCTTCCATGACGCGGTGCGAGGATCCTTCGATAGAAGGAGCCAAGTCATTTTATACAGGATCCAGATTGGCCACGCGAGACTTTCTCACGAATTCCTTCTATAGAGAATATTCCCCCCCCCCCCACTGCAGTATGTGCCAATGTCCTCTTGAATATATATTGACTTTTTGTAAAGAAACCGAAACCTCACGAAATGGGGCCAACCTTCTCAAATCACTGAAGGAATTCTTCCACGATACAAAGAATGTTGAGAATCTTTTCAAATTTACCCAGAGCAATAAACGCCTTTACTATTCCATTTAACTGTCACTAATCGTCGGTACACGTCGCTAATGATCCAAACCTTGATGTTAAATAAAGAAAAAAAATCGTCTAAATAGTTTTAGTGGAACTAAGGTTTTTATTATAACGCTTTACATTTAAGAAATAATGTAATTTCATCGAGAGATTTTTGTGACCGACTGTATGTATCTCATTTGTGGCGTTACGTAAGGAGAACATTTCCTTACTGTTCTTAAAATATCCTTTGATATTGTGGCAGGAGAAAGGGAAGTGTCCTAGAATTCGTTCTTTTTGTCTCTGAAGTAATGCAAGAAGCACGACACCGACTAACTGGATGGCAATCAGAAACAGGATCATGAGACGGCCATAATCGTTAAAGACCTTATATGCAAATTTTCTCTATTCATTTACGAAGGTTTTCGGTTGCATTCACCGAGATCCGGGTTGCGTTATCTTAGAAACTTCTTCCTCGAGCTTAGAATCCACAAGTTTAGCTGAACTTTGGATAAGATATCAGCACTACAAATTTGTTGTTATGATTGTTTCTTTTCGGGGCCTTTTTTTATCGCTAAAGTCGAATATAAGAGCCATTTTCCATGGAAATGAACGGTTTTGAGAATTCAGTCTTATGAACATTTGGCTTGACTGTAGAAATCCGCGTAGAATCGTCATCATGTATGTGAAGTAGACAAGTGATGTCGCATTAACAGTGCTCCAAACGTTAATTTTGCTGCTTATTACTTATCGCTCTCTGTAGGATCATGAACTAACCGATCGATTCGTGACAGCCGGTAAATATAAAATAACCGCAACCTTACCCCAATATTCACGGTGCAAATGTATGCAGAGTGGTCCATACAATGGGTTAAGAGCATCAAATTTTAAAAACGATATTGTCAAAATCCATGAACATGTCACGCATCAACAAGTTGGCTGAGATTTTGTACACCACTTCCAGTTTCAGTGATCTCGAGAACCACTAAAAAGTGTCATTCTAGTCGAATATTTTCCAGTGCGAATACTATACTAGAGCCCGAATTTCTACAAGCAACTTTTTCTATCATTCTTAATCCCCACATTGTGTTTATGTGTGTGAATGAACGGACGTGTGTGTAGATGATCAAGTGAGAATACAAGGTAATAGGTAAAACGATTGTAAACGGAGTTCCTTTTATGATCCGGAGGCTAAAAATAAACTATAGTATTAGATAATTGCACCATGCAAAATCATTTCGATAATAAGGATGCTCTTTATGACAATAATGTACATAGATCTGGATGAATAGAAATTTCATAGGAGAAGCATTAATGCAAAGATGTCGAAGAAAAACGAGGAAAAGTCACGTTAAAAAAAAGTATAACAGTTTAATATGAAGTTATTCACAGGAACAGGAACAGTTGTGGATAACTTGCTGTAATAATTTCCGTATTTCGAACGATAAAATAGTTAATAGTTAGATGTTTATACTAATTACTTAAACTGTCTAATAAGTTCAAGTTAGATCTTTGAAAAAACGACACGAATTCAGCTTGATAATATAAATACAGTGGGTCACAAAAGTACTCGAATACTTGCCACAGAATTCTTTCGTAAGTATATTACACGAATTACACGAAACTTTTTGGAATTTCGTTAACAGTATTAGACATGACTACCGTGATTATATGTAATAGTAAAATTTCCGAAATCGATTTTAAAATTTACATAGAAGATACAAGACAATTATTGGAAACATACACTTATTGTTAGTGAGAAATTAGGATGCAGCATACAAAGTAGTCTCGAACACGCGACAATAGATGCTATTTTTTCTGTAAACGACTGCAAAATTGCGACACATTGCAAAGAAAACAAATTCGAAATTGGAACTTTAACATTTTTGCACAAGAAAGTTTTCGTAGACCTTTTGCAGACCTTCACCAAGAGGTGGATAGAATAACGTTACGATACTCGTGATAAATCATTTTCCAACACCTTGTAGAATGAACGAATCGTTTTTATTTTATTAGTAGCATTTGGATCCTAAGAAGTGCACCTTGAATATTGAATTTGGTTCGATTTATAGATACATACTAAACTTAATTAATTGTATGTACATGTACCTTAAACGCCAAGGAAAATGGATTGAGCTCAAACGCTGTATGCACGAGACTATCGTGTGGTGTGTACGAGCGAAGCCTTTCCAGGGATTGCATTAACTTAAACACGACACATTTCGCCTCCACGGAGGACTCCGTGCATACTATGTAACATCTTCATACACTAGAACGATGATTCATAGCATAATGCCGACCACGTGCTTTGGTACTCGGGAGGATTGCTCTTTCGCTTATTCTCATTTTCTATTTCTCTTCTCTTCCGCAACAAGACTGTATAATCTGATCATCAGTTGAACGCGGTAAACGGAAAGAGAGCTTCAACTAGATACAATAACTGCTTGCCACTGAATCTCAGTTACACGCGAGCCGTACTATACTTTAGATATATACTATATATTTTTCGATATTAGGTATTCTATGTACTTTGCGTATATATCGAAGACATCAAAATATCCTTTCTCCAAGTAGTCGTATCCTTAGCTTTCACAAAACTGCGAACAAAGCTTTCTGCGACTATGTCGTTATATTGAAATGTTGCCTGTTGGCGGAGAGTGATAGGCAGGTGCAACTACGAATGCGATATAATTAGATTCAGAGATGGAGTTATAACGGGAAATATAAATATCGTAGAATGGGTAGATTATCAGATTATTTAGAAAAAGGGGACAAGGGAGTCAGAAACTAATTGCTAAGATTAGGTGCAAAAGTATAGGAGAGGCAAATAGATATTGTATGGTAAAAGAACGGAGGTGGTGTGTTTTATGCGAAGGAGGATTGGGAACACTGAAACACTGGGTGGAAGAATGTGGAGGAATTGAGGACAGAAGAATAACATCAAAGGAAATTGTTGAGACGAAGAAAAGATGAAAGAATGGTTAACGAAACTAGAAAGAAAGAAGGAGTGTATGAGAGTGGGTGGGGGAGAGAGGAAAAGTGAATAGAGGAGACAGACACATGGCAAAGCCAAAGAAAGTACGTGCAATGGAAATGTCACATTACATTTAAATAATTAAGTATAGAGTAACTAAAGCATAATTAAGAGTAAGTTCAAATATATATGTAACAACCTAGTGTATGTCGAGCTTGTATGACTGTGAGAATGAGAAATTCATGTAGATCAATCTCGTTTTATAGCCGGCAGGCAAAAATGAATAAAAAGCAGATATATATTTAATCATAAAGTGACATTAAGATAAAGAGGCAATAGAACTATACTTACTATGATCCTACTTCATCAATCTTTCTATTTAGAACATAATACTTGAGTCTATCGCTAATTGAGAGCACTTTGGGACTGAAAAAGGGAAAATGACGAATGTGAGAGGAAATAGAGGACGAGAGGAAGACGTAAATCGGGATTATGTGAATTGCAAGAGATTTTGGAAGATACGTTAGAATGTTAGGTGAAGAGGGTGAAAGCTGAGAGTAAAAGTGAACGAAGACGGAAGATGGGAATGGAATGGCTTCAGATTTGAGAACTTCGTATCTAACAGAAAATTTTGTATAATATTATTCAAACCAATTGAAATTTACAACAGGCCAGAATGATATTAGATAAGTCTTTACTTCAATCTCTATTTTCATGTCTAATGTACATATTTTTGTATATGTGGAATTACTTAAAACACAGATGACGACATTAAGTATACCTTTTACATAATTACCATGAATTTTGACGATATTGTGCAATTCTGCATTGTTTTTTATTTCTAATTCTGTCGCATTGTTTGCATAATTATAAAATATTTTCATGGTGCTGCGGAAGTTATGTCGAACGGTAACGAACCCATAAAGAAGAGATGCGGTTTCTTAAATAAACTTTTCGCCAGTTATGCAAGATTGTAAATTGCAAAAATTGTTAACATTTTGAGCAACTTTTTCTTATACGTATAGTCGTAGTTCTGCCTTGGATTTCAAATCATCAAGCAATTTACGTTTAATACTACGTGTATTATTTAACGATTTACTTTACAATTTACCTTAAAAACGTTCGTCCCGTAAAGAATTTGTCAATGACGGTAGATACATTTTTTACCAAATGAATTAGAATACAACGTTCCGTATACATCAATCTATGCATCGAAAACTACTTTACGCTAGCTTCGCCGGCCGCGGCGGCCTGTCATTATTTAGCCCAACCCACAAACCACGGATCTTTCTTTTTTATTTATACAGTACTGCAGATGATTATCACATCATTGACTCGGGTTTGATATTAAAGCAATTTTGGCAACGTTGTGCAATTTTGTATTATATTGTTTGCATAATTATATGTCTTATAATTATAGGTCTATAAATTCACTGTGACCCCAAAGGACTGCCGTGCATTTTGCTGCCGTAACAGGGATATACATTATTCGAACGATCGAAGGAACTGGTCAGCGTACTTATTGGCCTACTTTTTGCAAGTAATGTAGGAGCGGATGTATCCTTACGCCGCGAGGATAATCTGGGGCCATTGACCAGCTGTGCTGGACTTTATTACGAAAATCGATAGCAATGTCAATCCTTTAAAAAATTTCATTCATATATCGTACAACTTTTTAAAATTGTGACTATAATGCATGACATTGAATGTTTGATTACAAACCAATACAGAATTTCTATACGTATTTACTAATTAAACTTCAAATTTTACTATTGTAGTCAGGATAATCGTGTCTGATTACAGTGCCATTAAAATTTCAAAAAGTTTCGTGTAACACATAAAATACATTGATAAACTGTGCTAAATGTTTCAACACTTTCATCAGCTATTGTACGTATTTGTGTTACGTTATGCATTAACTCAAACGCTTGATTCTTCAGATCCGGCCGTGATTGGACCTTATAGAAGAGACGCGAAGTATCTCACATGGATATAGGTACCGTCGCCACGTGGTCCTGTTAGTATAGAATAATTCAATTACACTGCCCGTACGCAGGACGGAAGAATCAAACGATCTCAACATACGCACGGTACTTTCACATCTTTGATCGATCGTACGATCGACAGCCAGTTGATGTTGATAGACGATTGATAAAAGAATCGTCGGAGATTTCCACGTGCTGTCAGATTAAAAACTTATTCTATCATCGTCGTCGAATCTACCGAACAAGAAACAAATGTTTGGAAGGCTGAAAAGATTTAAGCCATCAGACTCGATTGGAACAAGCAAATTCTATGAGTAACAAATACAGAGAAATAAATAAAGTATCGACGGATGCTTGAATATCTCTGTAAATATGTCTGTACTCTGAATTGTACACCGCAGTCCTGTTTCTTCGATACAACTTAAAATTTTAATAGGCTTTAAAATATACAAATATTTCGTTCTGCTTTTGGCAATTCATCGCATAAGCTTTCCAGAACCCGACAAGTTGCTCTTTAAATTATTTGCCATTGCATACAGATACGCGTAGTATTAGTTGTGTTCGTGAAATGTTCAGAGTATTAAATAGTATTAATAGTGGGAATATTAGTATTAGCAGTAGTAAATTAGCAGTAACTTTGATGTGTAGAAAGTATTTACACGTTGCAGTACTTACTTCATCAGGATAATTGCCACCGCAACGAACATCGCATCTAGCAACTCTGATAGTGTCGTACTCTTCGATGTACTTGGTCCAAGATGCGAAACATCCTGGTAAAAGTAACCACCAAAGCCACCATTCTGCGAAAAAATTAACGCTGATATTGAATAACATGGTGGCGAGTGAAATAAATTTCAACTTCGATGAAACAAAACGCGATGAGCTTAAGACGAATCGAATTACATTTACTTCTTTTCGAAAGGTTGATACCGATACGAATACCAGTAAGTCAATACACTTTCCAAACATGACATATTATACACTGGCGATATAGACGAAAGAAATGTGAACAGCGAATTTATCTATAGACTGCGAATTTTATTATTTTAATAATAATTATTATAATTATTTTATGTCGCAATTTTTCATAGATACGGTTAAAAGAATCCGATCTTGGCAGGATTTACCTTTCGAAGGACTTGCGAAACCCTCGATGCTGCGGCACATTCCGTTTGAAGAGTAATATATTCCGAATAGTCTGTTAAATTTACCCTTAAGTCTCTTACAATTACAGTCTCGTAAAAATCTATAGTCTGATTATCATATTCTTTTTATAGCCAGACACGCTTCCTGATACTGCAATTTTGATTTTTGTGGACAAGGACGATACAGATCAATTACAGATCATCGTCAAAATAACCATCGAATGAAGTACTGTAAGTTGATTAACAGACTGATACGAACTTATGAATATTTAATATGTTACGCGTGTTGTACAAACAATTGAGTCGGCTCTTTGCTAAATCTGTTAATTCTGCGGAACAAAAAATATAAAAAATTGATGAAATTATATCAGACATTGATACGTATGGACAAATAAAGTAAGTGCTTTGGCACCAAAATTTGAAAAATTTCGAAAGTGAAATTAACCACTTTATCCTGTGAATGGCCCAATTAATAATGGGAAAGATATAAATATGTTACTTGTAAATCCGGTTATAACGACCAATCATAGATTACGAAAAAATAACTTACACGAAGCTGAAAACTATGTCACAGACAAAATCGAAATACACGAGATAAAACGATCGATACTATTAACGCTAAGCTGTTTGGTAACTGATGGTACAAACGACTAGAGGGTGATTCTACATGAAAAGATGAGTAGGAAAGGAAGAATAACATTTTTTCATTTAAGGCTTCGTTTTTGAGAAAATCAATTTTAAAACCCAAATACATATGCATATACACATGTATGTATAACATATGTATACCGTGTGTGTATAAATATACCGTAAGTAGAATTTTGTGAATTTATTAAAGACGACGAAGATGACGAGATATAATTATTTACGACCATATTTACATACTTTATAACTTTCAGTACAATGCTTTAATTATAACTTTAATTAAATAAAAGAAACAATGTTCTATACTTTCTGCTCTACTCCTGTATTAATGAAACAAAACATAAATTGCTAAAGGAAATTTAAATATATCTTACTTGATAATATCTACTTTGAATGTTCCGTATTCACGCGATATACATACATATTAATTTCGACAGAGTTTTATGCATTTGTAGGAAATTTGAAATTGCAAAGATGCGCATGGCATGTGAAATTACACGAAATATTCAAAGTACAGTACTTATAATATTCAATAGATGAAGTAAATTTCTATTTAAATTCTATCCGCTTGATTAGGTTTACGAAAATACAAATTTGCATAAAAATCCGCAGTCAATAATCGCAAACAGTTCACGAAAGCACGCGATTTGTATTTACAAAATTCTAACGTATTCTTAAGTGTACAAATTGCTGACAGTGTAGCGCGACATTTTGTATAAACAGATGGATGTTTCTACTTTAGTAACTCGGCTTTCGCTACTAAATACGCAAATCGTTCGGATTTGCCGTGCAAATACCAAGTCCATGTAGCGAAGTGTCGGCATATTAATCACGCATATCGTTGGACCTCTGTTACCAAGTACGTGATCAGAATTTCATCGATATGTTCCGTGTGTGTAATTGCGTCGTTGAATTATAGAAATCGTTCGTCCAAATTTCATTCGCGTATTCATCCTAAATACTGCAACGCGTCGCAAAATTCATTGAAAATTATCTATTTCTCTTTCAACTCTGCTGTCCTTCTCGCTTCTTCTTCGCGTTTGTATCTTTTCGGATGTCTTCTCTGTTCTTGAATTATTTTATTCGTAGAAAGGGTAGAATACACTCGAAAAAAGAAAAAAAAAATTCAATCAAAATTATGTATATTTTAATGATATCTGTTGAAATATAACATGCATTTAGGATCACGTGCAAGCGAAGAGGACAACAGGATTAATGTCAATCTAATATCAAGCTGGTGTATCAGTTGCTCCGATATTTATTTTATTGAATTGTCTATTGGGATTTTTCATCCTCGTCAGTTTTGTGTACAAACAACTAAATCTCCCTTTAACTTCGTTTTTCTTATTCTTTTTTGTGATTATAATTTATAATCAATCATATATACACAGGCTGTCCCGCGACGCGAGGACAATCGAAATGGAGATGATTCTACAATTAAAAATAAGCCAAAAATAATTTGTAAGAATACAATTTGTTCGTCCGTGGCCTCGTTTTCGAGAAGATCGAGTTTGAAAATCTGTCAAGTAGACAAACTTGGCCAAGTGCCGGCAAAGTTTAATTAAAATTCCGTATTATTTCCGTTTAAGGCCTGGTTTTCAAGAAAATTAAATTTGAACATCTTCGGTTAAAGACTAATTCTAATGCACGATACATTTTCAAATGTATCCTCTTTAAAAACAAACCATCGTATAAACAAAATTTTATTCTACATTTCTGACTTATTTTCACATGTAGTTTAATCTCTTGCCGATCATTTACGCCTGTTCATTCTGCAATTAGCCAAGTTTAACTATATATACTTGCCAAATTTTCAAACCCGATCTTAATAACGGGACGCGATATAAAAAAGTTGTATTCTTTCTCTTTCGATTCACTTCTACGTGTAGAATAAGTCGATCGTCCACGAGTCGCGAGACACTTTGTACATCTATAGATACGGGGTGTCTGTTAACTGGTAGTACAAACTATCGGGGGATGATTCCGCATGAAAAAATAAATGGAAAAGAAAGAATAAAATTTGTTCGTTGAAGGTTTCGTTTTCGAAAAAATAAAGCCTGGAAATCAAGTATGTACATGTATACGTATATGTATGCGAAGTCTCAAACGAAGAAATTTTATTCTTCCTTTTCCATTTATTTTTTCACGTAGAATTACCACTTGGCTGTTTGTATTACCAGTTACCAGATACCCTGTGTACATTATGTTCATTTTCACACCTTCAAGTTGCCCACAAATGCATAAAAATCTCCCTTCTACTTATCACATATTTAATATCGTAGCCACGCTGCTTTTCTTAATTAAAATCCAATTTAGTTTCACACGTCTCCATACGATCGCTATTACATTCAATCTCCGAGAAATATTTACTTCCCTTTTATTAATATTACATAAATATCGTAAAATAACTTGTAGGTATTGTGATTTCAGTCGGGAAAAAAGCTGGTAAAAGAATCCTTTGTATCTTAACGAGCTCATTTGTGTAACTTCAATCGTTTAAAATCACTAAAGAAGTAGGTAAGAGGTATTTTAAAAAACCGGTTCAATTATCGTGGTACAGCTACACTGTGGTTCGCGATAGCCAAATAAAGAAAGAAATTAAATGGATTCCTCGTATTTCTGAAATACTTCTATTTTACATAAATGCTTATGATTGTTTCATGTTAATCTGATACCTTATACACACACACACGGTATTCATTTTATTTGATCTTCAAACCATTTGTGTGCTTTATTGAGATTGACTGATAGAGGAACGAGTGGATGAATTTGTAATAGAAAAATATATCGAAATAAGTATAGGTACAAGCACAGGTATAGTGTATGCTGATCCAGATCCTCACTATAACAGCGTTACAATACGTAGGAAGAAGGCATATATTTATAGCAAAGGACATTACCAAAAAGTTAATCTTTGTGCGTAGCTCTAGCTGAAGATTACAAGAAACAACAATAGAAATCTACTTATAGCTCTTTTGTTTCTAGATCTTGTAATCCAAAACAAAATTTATATTCAAGGGCACAATAATATGGACCTCTCCTTATTCCGAATTTTCTTTTTGTTTCCCTAAATTCTATTCTCTTCGTAACAACGATTTTCAGGTCACCGATATACAAAAGAAATGTTGTAGAGTTTTTCTTGAAGTAATTACTTCAACATGCCTCTTATATAGAAATTGCAAATAAGTGTGACAATTAAGCAATATATAGGTATATATTATAGGTATATATAGGTATATATTATATAGGTGAACTTCAAACAAATTGCTAGGATTTTTACAACAGTACGATTTAAATATTTTTATTTTGTTTTACTTTGAAGTAACGTTTCATTTGAAATTTTTCTTAGTCAATTTACATCGTCAAATTTGGTTTCTTAAATACTTACATTTTAAGCTGTGATTACGAAAGGAAATTCTAACTATACGTTTAATACCCGTTTCAATCATTATTTCTTTCTACATCTATTTTATAGAATTCTGTTTTTCCGCAATTTCTACGAACTTGTAGAATCTTCTGTTCGTGTCCTTAATTCGCGGAATGAACTCGCGTATTTTTGCCACCTTGATAAAACAATCAGTTACTACATACCATATTCTATTTCAACGTGTCTTTCAACAGTGTTGATGAGCCAGACAATGGTGAGAGAGTCAAAAAACCCTATTGTAGTAGCAGAGACCTAACAGTCATTTGACATACGTACGTTTTAAAATAGTCGGTAACGCCAAGTCAACGCATGATTTTACAGCGTAACTCGAGCCTCCAGCTACGTGCATCAGGGGTGTCAAAGGACTTCCGTACGTTGGAAGAGGCAGCGGGCAGAAGCGCCGGAAGCGGAGCGGCATATCCACGGAGACGTCGTTGGTCGGTCAACAAAGTACCGGAAGGATCTTCGTGTGCGATCGAGTAGCGCGCAGCGAACCGGTAAAACCAAAGACGGAGTGAGCCGATCGCGGTGAACCGTTCGAACTGAGATCGGGCTTACTTTCTTGCGCGGTCTGATCCTCTCCTGCACTTCTCTGGCACTTCTCCTACTACTTCGACCCACGCCATTCGTTTCCACCACCCTGCTACCACCCGTCGCAATGATCGAATCATTAACTTTGGAAAGGGTCCTGCCAGTGGCGAATACAAGCCTCTCTTTCGGTCTCACTCCCTTTTTTTCTCTCTCCTTCTCTTTCTTTCTCTTTCTCTCTCTCTCTCTCTCTCTCTCTCTCTCTCTCTTTCTCTTCTTCCCCCTCCCTCTTTCTTTCTCTCTTTCTTCCTGCTTCGAGTCTTTCGTTCAATATCACTCGCGTTTCGATTACTCACCTTCGTCTTTTTCTTTCGATAAGAATTTCTACAACAGCGCGTTAGATTATTGAGACCTATCGCGTGGTATCTACCGAAGCAGTTGAAGGAAGAACACGCGAGGAATAAAGTGAGCTTAGAAAGATAAGAGTGCGTGCATACGTATGTACATATGTGTGAGAAAGGATAAAATAAGCGTTATCCTAACATGTTGTTCCATTCGATTCGCTGAATTGGAGGAATAAACGTTTGGTTTCGATACGAGGTCGAACATTTGCACATTTGGTATAAAGAATAGAGTAGTTTCTAGAACGTTTGTAGCTCCTTTCCTTCTGTCGCGATTTTTATGATTAATTCTGAGACGATCAAGGAAACGTTTTTAAATAACCAAATATAACGAGAACTTTAAACAGGTCGTTTTTGTAGTTTGCCTTCCATGTGCATCCGCTTTCTGTCTACGCTTTTTATTTTAGGTACGTGGTTCGATATAAAATATGACGAGAAAAGTATCGGAGATCTTTATCAGAAAATATAAAACGATAAATAATCCTAAAAATTTGAAGAAAGATACGTTTTTTTAAATAATTTTCACGCACTGATCGACTGCATGCCTGATTAAAATTCAGTCGAGAAGATTAATGTGTTACAGTGGATAAAAAATGTATTTACTTAATAATTAATTAGTTTGGTAATACTTCCACACATTTACTACAAGCGTTCTACACTACGAAGATCAAGTGTGGAACCTAATAAAAAAGGAACGCTTCATTGGGAAGTAAGGATATGTATAAACACTTTTTGTAGCTGCTGTAACTCGAATTTCGTAACTCTTTCGTTCAAAGTTTATTGCACAACATTTCATTCGTAGTAATTTTGCTTCATAAACACCCACAAAAAAATTATTGACACCTTCAATTATCATGGTAATGCTGGAATATCATCGTTTCTTAGATATTTCTCATTTATAAACTTCATATTTGCCTGCGCAGGTTTTTTTTTTTTTTTTTTTTTTTTTTTTTTTTTTTTTTTTTTTTTTTTTTTTTTTTTTTTTTTTTTTTTTTTTTTTTTTTTTTTTTTTTTTTTTTTTTTTTTTTTTTTTTTTTTTTTTTTTTTTTTTTTTTTTTTTTTTTTTTTTTTTTTTTTTTTTTTTTTTTTTTTTTTTTTTTTTTTTTTTTTTTTTTTTTTTTTTTTTTTTTTTTTTTTTTTTTTTTTTTTTTTTTTTTTTTTTTTTTTTTTTTTTTTTTTTTTTTTTTTTTTTTTTTTTTTTTTTTTTTTTTTTTTTTTTTTTTTTTTTTTTTTTTTTTTTTTTTTTTTTTTTTTTTTTTTTTTTTTTTTTTTTTTTTTTTTTTTTTTTTTTTTTTTTTTTTTTTTTTTTTTTTTTTGAAGCCCAAATATAATGCCTGAATTAGTAAAGAAAGAAGAAAAAAAAAAACACGAGGTGCAAAGTAGAAAGCTCGAAGATATATGAAAAGATATACAGAAAGCGATAAATATACGTAAAATATACAGAAAGATATAAAGAAATGGAAGATATGGAAAATAACATTTTGCGATAGCTTTATCGGGTTGTTGCGATGCATTTAGCTGGGTATGGAACCTGAAATTTCTATAGCAGGTAATTCAAAGGTCTCGAAAATATTTAATTCGTGCAGGTCGTCGAATAAATTGACCCGGAAATGAGGCGGCGGTTTTGTTTAAAACGTGTCTCGGTTAGATATTGAACAGAGTGGAATATGTCTACGCGCTCGTTGCGAATCTCTCGGTCCAGCCTGCCGCGCAGGTATTACAACCTGTGTGGCATGAGAACGGGGCCTTCTCTTCTCACATAATGAACGACTTCGAAGAACGGTAGTGGCATTGACCTGAATCTATTAGGGCTTTGGTTTGGCGGTATTATAGCTGCCCGTGAATCAATCCCTTACTTAGCAACATTCGTAGACCACACAAAACTTCGTATAGCTCATTATACCGGTCCTTATTCCACGTTTCTTGTCTGGATAAGCGTAAAACATTCTTCTTTTTGCGTCCTTTGTGGATTCTGCCAGTTGAACAAAAGCTCTTCTCCGGTTGTTTCAACTTCGGTATTTTTCAGTTTGCAACATGTTTCAGTTTGCGATACTTCGATCGTGTTCAAAATTCTCACCGGCGCTGTTTATAAAATCCTATTCACGATTATGGGAACGCTATTGCTTTAAAACTTAAAGAAATCGAATCTTTAATTTATTTTACGTTATACGCACGATGACCCTACAGAAGCGTGGATTATTTGGCAGTGATTTTGTCCACACGCTTTCTCATTTAATTTATGGATTCTAACAAACTTCAAGTGTGACAAAGGGCGTGCTGATATTGCCGCAAAAGCGTTCAGACGAATAAATAACTATACGTTAATCTGTATTAGAATTACACGTAAGAATTCTCGTATGAAAAATATCTGACTCGATTCGCTTTCATAGACACTGGCACAAGTACAAGAACTATGAAACCGAACTATGAACTGAATGGAAATGCAAATTTTGTTCGTATTGGAAGCCTGTATACAAGTATATATTATACGTATATACAAGACGATATACAAAATAAGTGGCAATAATTTCAGAGTTTTTAACTTTAACAATTACTGACATATTTTAGTCGCATCTTTGTCTGATTAATTTGAAATATGTTCAAGATAATAATTGTCATCGGATATATCTTACATATGCACATTGTCGCTTACGAATATGTGGTCATTAGCTTGTTGGAATATAAATTAGTAACAAAATTACAAATAGAAAAATTCAGGACGACTTTATCTTTTATTACAGCTATCTTGGAATATCACAGGACATTGAAATTTATTTTTAAAAGCTAACATGTTATAGAAAGATTGGCATTTACGAGTGTCAAACAGCTGCATTCTGGAGCAGATCTTTTATTCAAGAAGTTCATAATACTTAGCTTGTCTGGTTGGAAAAAAGAATCTTCCAAATTGATTGAAAGACTATAGATTGAAGAAAAATAAAAGAAAAAGGAGACTAATTCATCGTGTTAGTGAAGATCGTTTCGTACCACTTAAAAATAACAAATAAAATAACATATTAAGCAACAGTTCGACATATTACGCTTGCAACGAACTTTTCTGCACTGTTCCAGTTAGTACAGAAACAGGTAAATCTCTAGAGAAATTAAAAGATGCAAGCGTTACGCTGTTAAACGCTGTTAAGCGATAAATAAATTCGACTCGATTAAGATCCATACGGATGGAAGTAACGCTATTTCGTAATTCGAAATCAATAGGATGCGTTTGTATTTGCCACGATTTAAATATTTCAGTAATAAAGAGCCTGGAGCGCATTGCGTTAAACGAAGTACTCGACATTGCACTAATTAATCCTAACTGACATAATTTCAAAATACTTATTCTCTTAGAGTCACTCTCACTTTACTAATATTATACGTATACACAAGACTTTTAACTTTAACGATCGCTAACAAATTTTAGTCACATCTTCGTCTGATCAACTTGAGATATGTTCTATATGTATGTTGTTGAGAAACGATATACTGAGAATCAATTTGTCCGCCCTAAACAATCTTACGAGTACCAAAATAGATATTAAAACGAGTCCATGTTCATTACTTTTGACACACGAACATTTTCGATATAGACAGGAAATTGACCCACAAGGGAATAAAAAAGTAAACGAGTTAGCCAAAAATGCCACGTTATTCAAATCGAATAATAACGCATCAATACCCTTTATTAATTTTCCAGAAATATATATGAATATGGTGCTGACGCTAATACTACACAACACAACCAAAACCAAAGGCCCGAAGAATGTTAACGCTTTCTGTATGGATAAAGTTAGCAATAAACCGTGGTTTTGGAGAAAAAGATTTGCGAAGATAAGCTACAGTCGCCATAAACAGATTTGGAGTCGATCGTTATAACTTTACAGTCTCGTTACTACGAGCAGGCATTATAAATAGACCGAAATGTTACCGAATATTGTGAATTGCAGGGCCCGAACCATGTCTTTTGAAATTGTTCGCTACATCATGAGCAGAGACTTATATCGATTGATAGGTTGCGAAAATGCAAAGATTTCTCTCCATTCAACGCAAAACCTCTTCTCGTTGAGTGCAAAATATAAGAGTCTTAGGACACGTCCAAGTTGTCAGTGGCATTCAAGTATGGCACAAAATGTACTTGTATGAATCTTGCAATCTAATACTACATCCAGTTGATTTTGCGTAATCGTATAAACCTTGTTTTAGTAAACCTAATAAAAGTGAGTGTATAGATATAATGAAAGACAGTGTATAGTATAGGAAGGCGTCTTTTAAAGATTTTGACGATGCTCGTACGCTCTTTCACGACTATGTCATGTTAAGCTTTCTTTAAAGCCAGTTTATCATAGGTTGTTCTACTGTGTGTAAAGTGTATAAAGAAGAGACGTTGTTTCGATTGAGATATTTGTTCACATCGTCTGCAATTGAAAAGCTCATGCTGCATCATTAAGAGTATTTGTCAAAGAACAAGGAATGTCCATATCATTTTGCCGAAAATGGCAAAGAAGAAAATGGTAAAAAATGAATCGAAATATACGAATATGACAGTGACGCCACTCTCCTAACACGTTCCGTTTTATCTTTTTTCTTTTCGGATATCGCGCCATTTGCAAAATAATTAACGTGAAAGTCACGTAATAAATCGACTAAAGTTTGGAATCGAACAAAACAAAAATTGT